AGAAGATGAGCGACAAACAATTAGGACCTTACAAAATTCTGGAGAAGGTTGGAGCAGCCGCATGGAAGTTGGATTTGCCAGATACGGACTGGAGACACCCGGTGTTCAACGAGTCACTGTTGACACCCTATCACAAACCACCCCCCCATTGCTGAGAGAAGAGACCCGTAGTCAAGATGATCGGAGGAGCAGAAGAGTGGGAAGTCGAGGAAATTGTGAAGGAACGAAAGGTTGGCCGAGGGAAACAGTACTTGGTCAAATGGAAGGGATGGCCTCATAGCAAAAATACATGGGAACCATCACAACATCTTACCCACGCAAAGAAGGTCCTGAGAGATTGGCAGAGGAAACAATCCAACCCAGACACACGCATTTGTCTCCTGCCGACGCTCGAAGCCGGACACTGGGATTATCTCATTCATTGCTACAAACCCAAAGACGAGCGCCTCCTGTATCCCCAACGACAACTATTCGACCCCTACAAAACGTCTTCACGCCCATTGGCCCAGTCAATGAGGGCATTGACCCTAGAGAGGGGGTAATGTCATAGTTCGACCACTTTTTCATCTTATCATCGACCATCTTATCTTATCTCGGCATGGATTATCTTATCATGGATCACGGCATCTGACGGTCTGGGCTAGGGGTCTAGGGATTATCTTTATTGATTCAAGGCTGCGCGACATATGCTCCAGAAGGTTCTACTACAACCCATGACCAATGCTCCATGCGGTACATAGTCTTATGACTCCTTAGTTGTAGATATGACTCAGACTGGATTTGGGTATAAACACTGTAGCTACTTTGTTGTATTCTTCAGTCTTCAAATTGACTGCTCTTTTTGACATTATTTCTTGTTGATTGTCATAATACTCATCTCACTCTAATACATATTTTTGTCTGGTACACTTGAGCAGTGGTAATACCCTCAAATTCCTCTGTGCACCCCATGGTTCACCATTTACAAGCAAGAAATACATGCTTTTGTAAGCTAGGACATCCTCTGGACCTTGATACTGATTATTACAGCACATGTAAACATGCAGGTTGATGCCCAGCCTGCCACGCAGGCAGTGGAAAAATGGCCAGCTGGGTACCAATTGGGATGGTGCCTTCAGGATGGCCTCCAATCAATGCTTCGAGGGAGTGGCTTGATGGCCTCCAGAGGGGAATGTAGACGACGAGTGATCGTAGGTCCTCAGTCGAGCCCAATAGTGGCGGTAAGACTCTTTTATTTACCTGTAGACGACAAGTGATCGTAGGTCTACATGTATGCTAAGTAATGAGTCATGAGAGAATAGACGTTGGAATACGCACCCTCAGTCAAGCCCAATAGTGGCGGTAAGACTGAGGGATGCGACCCGAGAAAAAAACTGTATATGTATGAAATCCCGTGATATGTCAAACACGCACGTAATAGCCTGTACGCCATATGATCTCAACACTCCCCCTGGCGTGCAGCGCGCTTCCAATCCAAGCCCAAGGCATGGCATATGCGCTCATGGTCGACACGTCCAAGCGACTTGGTAAGGATGTCTGCGACGTTCTCCTTTCCGGGAACAGACGTGATTGAGATTTCTCCTTCGCTGACGCGATCACGAATATAGTGGTATCGAATGTCGATGTGTTTCGCGAGACCATGACCCTTGGTGGTTTCCGTGAGACTAATGGACCCGAGATTGTCTCCGAGGAGGGGAATAGGCAGCTCTTGAGGTAGGAATATTTGGGACAGCCAGTTTTTCATCCAGATGGCCTGTTGTGATGCACGCGCAAGCGATATATATTCTGCTTCAGTTGATGACAGCGCAACCACAGCCTGTCGCTTAGACGACCAAGCCACGGGTGCGCCAGCCATAAAGAAGATATATCCAGCTGTGGATCGTCGCGTATCAACACAGCTGGCCCAATCTGAGTCGACAAATCCTAGCGGTTTGATTCCACCTCCCGGTTGAGTGCCTCCTGGGGTGTATCTGATCCCGTAATCCAGCGTTCCTTTGATATATCTGAGTACACCAATCAGCAGGCTCCAATGTTCGGGTCCGGGATTCGCTTGGACGTGTCCGAGCACTGAGCACGCGTATGCTAGATTGGGTCGAGTCCCGCTGCTCCCCCATACAATGGATCCGAGAATTTGGCAAAATGGTTTTCCCTGCATGTACGCAGCATCTTCTCGAGGTAAGGGTGAAGGCGATGCTCGGATCTGATATCCCGGAGGCAGTGGAGTTGATAACGGCGGCAGGTTTGAGTATCCAAAGTATTCAAGGACTTTTTCGAAGTATTGTTGCTGACAGATCGAAATAGATCCATCTGGCAATTTTTCGATCGTGAGTCCAAGCAACAGATTCAAATCGACCTCTTTCAAGTCCCACTTCTCGGAGAACTCCTTCACTACCCGGTCGCTCTCCGTATTACTGGAGGAGGCGCCAAGAACATCGTCCGTGTGGGTCGTTGTTAAGGTATAGTCATCGCCTTGCTGTCGCGTTCTGACACATGGATCGGCAGCGTTTTCGGAGTATCCCAGCATCTTGTAACCCGAAGCAAGAAGTTTGTACCAGATATGGCCGGCCTGGACTAGTCCGTAGAGAGGCCGAAGAAGAAGACAGACTTTTTCCTCTTCCCCCGTCTTCTCGAAGCCTCTTGGTTGTTTCATGTAAACAGGTCGGTCCATTTCGCCATTGAGATATGCTCCGGAGAAGTCCCACTGCCGTACTTTCAGATTCTTGACTGCGGCAACCGCAAATACCATCTGAACGGACTCCATTCGGGCCACCATGGCCCATTTTGTTCCGAAATCACGTCCTTCCACCATCTGGTCACCCCGTGCCACGTATCTCGCTTTGCGTTTCACTTCCCTCCCGTCTCCGTCCACCTTTATGTCAAAAACCCACATCCCATCGATTGCCACCTCTCCTGGTGGTAGCGACACAAGCTTCCATACTTTTCGTTCGCTGAATTGCTTCATCTCGGTACACATTGAGGCGTGCCAGGTAGGATCTTTCATTGCTTCTGTACCATTTCTTGGTAAGTTTCCTTTTGTCGCACTTGCTAGCGCTAATGGTTTTGTGAGCGTCTCTTGTTCAAAATAATCCGAATTCAGATCGACGAAATTCACGGCAGGGCGTTGGTTATCCCGAGCCCAATCTTCTCTTCCAATCCTTGCCTCTTCTTCCAGACGGCTCGAAATCTTGCTCTCCATCATTTTTTGACTTGGTTTTGGTATGCGGCCTGTCCTTCGTGGAAGTGGTGGAATTGGACTTGGGACTGCTGTCGTTTCTATCGATGAGGTTTCGTTTGAAGCAGGGCCTTCGGATGAGGCTTCCTCGTTACTCGGATTTTGGACAGTCAACTCGGGGTAGTTGTGCGTTATTTCTTGAATATGCTCCCAATCTTGTGAAATTGACTGTGTTTCATCTTCGTGAGCAAGCACGCTGCTTTGGTCAAATGCAGCCTGAGATCCCTCTGTCCGGTGAGGATTGCCTTCCTCAAAGATTACGTTCCGGACCTCATATACTTTCCCCCGTTTTGGATCGAACACACAGTAGCCCCTCCTTCCCATATAGCCGACCATTCGTCCTTCCCAACCTTGGCGGCCCAGTTTTCCTTCAACGTTGTCCAAATCTAGGACCCAACATATGCTTCCCCATACTCGTAAGTGGGATATGTTTGGGCGTACTTGCTTTCCTGATTCGTCTCGTTTGTTGAACCAACGCATCCAGGGAATAACGTCAGGGTGTTGGGAAGATGGTATAAAGTTCCGCACGTAGCAATGGCTGGTAGCTGCTTCGGCCCAGAAACGCGCATCCAAGCCAGATTCAATCAGCTGCGTGCGAGTACCAGCAATAACTGTTCGATTTCCTCGTTCAGCGTGGCCATGCGCTGCAGATGATGCTTTTGGGTGTTGAAGCTTGTTTGTATTAGCGACTATCACAGTATGTAGACATGACATCATAAGTAGTATTCTTAGATTACTTTGGCTCGCTCCACAATGACCTCATACCTGACCTCATTATTGCGTCATCCATTACTCATCTATGATATCATTACTCCACTATGACATCATGATATCTGCTCCAGACTGGTATATAAACCTAGTACTATACGCTCCATATCCTCAGCTCCTGTGTCTTACACTCGCTGAGGTATGCATTCTCCCTTACGATCTAATGACCCTTACTTATGACTTGTACCACAGACTCTGTGTCTTTAGGTACAGCTAATGTACAGCTCCTGTGTCTTACACTCGCTGAGACTCTGTGTCTTTAGGTGATCACTACTGGTCGTATCTCCACTGCGCGGTATTGTCTGCGACAGGTTATGGGCCCCGCCTGAACCATTAGCGGCAAATCAAGAAACATCAAACTACTCCCTTTACTAAGGCGAGTATCTTTCACTTGTTCAGCCCTTCTAGAGCGCCGTCTTTGTGCGCTCGTCCCACTTGCTGGATGTTGGTCCTCGCATTTGTGCTCTCACCCTCAAGGGGTTACGCGAGCGGCGTCAGGGAGTCATTCAGTTGGCAGAAGCGCCGTTAGCTATTCCGTCCATGATTGCTCGCGCGCGTTTTACGTTACATCTTTTTATTGTACAGCGGACATACCCACCAGGCACTGGTCCTTTGGTCAATCCCACTCCTGAACCTTGCGCGAAGCGCCTAGGTGGTGTGGTAGCTCTCAACAGCTGCTGGAGGTCAATCCCTCCGCCAGGCAAAACAATCCTTCGGGGTTGACTCGCATTCCTCACAAGGGACCCTGCGGGCTGGTGACACTACGAGGATTCATGCAATGACGCTCTGCGTGTATGCATGTCTTTAAAAGGGAGAAGATGGGCGGCCAAACCCGGTGCTTGGGACGGCCTTGGGCACGTGTCCCTTGGCCAGTGACGGACTGCGAGGGCAGTAATCACCGTCGGGTACTGCCGCCGCTGACGTATATAGTTACGTTACTTTGATACAAATATGGGCACTTACTATACCGCTTTATTTCGTTATCATTCCCCGCGCGTATATGGGCATCATGGATGGGATGGGGACGCTTGGTCGTTCTTGTTTCAGAGATTTGGCACTTGGGATTTGTTTCTTGGTCTGCAGAGAATCTGGGGCTGACTTCGTCGCTCTAGTCTTCATCTCTATCACCCTGTCATCACCAGACGACCCTCCCGTTGGGGTTATCCTATTTCCTGTTGTCCGTTGGGCTCAGGGACCTTCTTACACTACCCTTCAAGACACCGATTGGGAAGACCTATACGAACTTGGTGAACACGACAACGAAGATCTATTTCACCATCAGGACAATTGGACTCCTGAGCTTCGGTCCCTATTCGGTGATCCTCCCTATATCGAATTCCCCTCTCTCCACTATCAAACCGCCGACGTTATCGAGTATCTCCCCACCATGTCGGGAATCGAAAAACTCAACAACTCCATTCTGAGTGTCTTCGATGGCACCAATTGGAATACGTGGTCGGACAACTACATGAGCATCTGCATGCATCAGGGCACCTGGGGAGTGGTTAAACCCACTCATATTATGGTTAACGGCACATCTACCTCGAACCCTGGTTCTATGGAGCGTCCTGGAACGGCTGGTGACAGCCAATATCAATGGGACGTTGCCAATGAAAAGGCACTGGGTCTTGCGCGGGTTTATATCACCCAGAATCTGCGCAAGGGAATCTTTATGGACGGTCAGCGGGAGCGCACTGCGCGCGAGGTTTTTGCGAAAATGGCGACGGATTATGGCCAACCAAATGCCATCGATGCTTTCGTCGAGTACCGCCTCCTGAACACCACCACCTTCCACGGTGGTGATACCATTGAAAAACAAATCATGGAAATGGAGACTCGTCGTCGCCAGTGTTCGGAAGGAGGAATCGAGATCCCTGATTACCTCTTCGCAACTCTAATGCTCGCCGCTTTGCCCGCTTCCAGCAGAGGTTTCGTCACCTCTTACCTGGCCAATCGTCCTATCGCTTCTCTGAACCCAGTCAATGTCAAGAACAGCGTCATAGGGAATATCAAGATCGAGAACCTCGACACGACGTCGAACTCGAAGATTTCCACCGTTCCATCCCTTGCCACCCGCTGCACTCATTGCAACAAGTCCGGTCACGTTGCGGCATCCTGCTACAAGAAGTATCCCAACCTCAAGCCGACTGGTCAATCTTCTGACAAAGGCAAGGGGAAGCAGGATGAGGGGAAGAAGAAAAAGAAGAAGGAAAAGAAGAGCGGTGATGGTACTAGCGCTGTAAAAGAAGTTGTAGCCGCTCCCGCGGTTGCAGCTGCCTCCAATGGAATGCACATTTCGTCCTATCTCATGAGTGACTCCCTCAAACATATCGATGATGGAATTTTTGTTGAAGAAATGGGAGACGACTCCAAAGTTCGTTTTCTATGGGACTCGGGTTGTACGCATCATATGACAAACACCCGATCCAATCTTCACAACATCAGACCTATCGACACCTATGTAATCGTTGGGTCGGGAACTCGCTTCAAGAATGAAGCCGTTGGAGATATTGTGTTGCGGGGTCATACTAGTAGTGGCATGGACTACACCTTCACGCTGAAGGATGTCATCTACAACCCGCACATAAGAGGGCGTTACCTTTCTGGGTATGCGCTTGATCAGGCTGGTTACTACACCGTGGTTGGTGACAACAAGGCAATCCTAGTCACCAAGGATTGGCTCAACAAGGGAAAAGCGCATGGGGATGTCTTGATGACCTTTAAAGCAAGCAATCGCTGCTACTGGTACTACCCCGAGGAGCTCGTGGCACCATCTGTGTCTGCATCTCACGAGTCTACCACGCTCGCTTCCCTGGAAACTACCGATCGTGAATTGTGGCATAAGCATTTTGGTCATGCGGCTCGGAGGACCCTTTCTCACTTGCCGACACAAGTTGAAGGTGTTCCCCCCTTGCGACGCAATAAAGACCAGCGCGGCATGTGCGATGGATGTATGCTTGGAAAACAGCACAAGCATCCGTACCCTGCATCAGAGAAACGTGCTAGCAAACCCCTCGAGCTTATCCACACTGATTTGATGGGCCCCTGGCCTACTCAGTCGTTGGAAGGTTCACGCTACACAATTTCGTTCTACGACGATTTCTCAAGCTTTGGCATGATGGTGTTCATTAAATCAAAGGACCAAGCCTCTACCGCGATTAAAAACTTTGTTGCCCTTGTAGAGCGTCAGCTCGGCACAAAAGTACTGGCCTTCCGGTCAGATCGTGGAGGTGAATATATGTCTGATGAACTCACAGCCTGGCTCAATGCACGTGGTATTATGCACCCTAAGTCCGCGCCACGCGAACCACAGCAAAATGGGAGGTCTGAACGTTGGAATCGCACAGCCTACGAGAAAGCGGAATGCATGCGCCTCGATGCCGGCCTATCCAAAGGCTTCTGGCAATGTGCTATGGATGCATCTGTCCACGTTCATAATAGACAACCTATGGCACGATTGGGATGGCGAACACCTGCGGAACTGTGGCTTGGAAAGAAGCCAGACGTCTCTTATTTCCGTGTGTTTGGATGCAAGGCGTCTCTCTATGTGGATGTTGAAAAACGCCCGAAAGGGTTGGAGCATGGACGCCCCGACCACATCTTCGTTGGATACGAACGAGAGACAAAAGCTTGGAAAGTGTGGGATCCGAATCAACGCAAGATACGAATCTCTTCAAACGTCGAGTTCGATGAGCGAGTATTCCCTGCCAAGTCCAAGCTAGTCACCGGCAATGTGTCCTCTGGACCGGAGCCGTTCACACCATTCGAGGAAACCTTCCCTGACCTTATCAATAATCCTGCGCCTGCAACGCCTTATGCAAGCATACCACCTCCTGCTCTCCCACCGCCACCGGCACCCCTCGCGCAACAAGGTCCTGTCACGGGATCGCGAGAAGTACCCCTAATGCCTGGCCCGATAGACGATCGCCCGATTGCCCATCGCCGCCCTCGTCGGAATAAGCCCCGCATTATGCCAGATGGAACTACGTATCAGAGGCCTAGCAGCATTGAGTCCATGTTGTCAGCTGCCCAAGCTGAGCATGACTTGCCTCAAAACGTGCGGGACGTAGCAAAGAGCCCAGATGCACTCAAGTGGGAGCGCGCGATGCGCGAAGAACTGGACTCTCTCGAGGAAAACTGTACTTGGGATTTGACCAGCCTTCCACGCGGTCGAAAGACTGTCAAATGCAGATGGGTGTTTAGCAGGAAGCGTGACGGTCGTTTCAAAGCACGACTTGTTGCCAAGGGATTCACTCAGGTTCATGGGTTTGACTATGATGAGACCTTCTCGCCAGTATTGCGCTACGAATCTTTGCGCATACTTATGGCTCTGGCTGCTCTCGAAGATTGGGAGATTCATGCCATGGATGTCAAAACGGCATTCCTAAACGGGGATCTGGAGGAAGAAATCTATATGGAACTTCCGGAATTACCCAAAGGTTTCTCGTCATGGCCAAAAGAAAAGGTGGCACGCCTTCGTAAATCACTCTATGGGTTGAAACAGGCGTCTCGTCAGTGGAATATCAAAATCCACAATGCCCTCCTCGAACTTGGTTTTGCTCGGACATACTCTGACGCCGGTGTCTACACATATCGCCAACAAATGGGAGATACGGTCATCATCTTGGTGCTGTATGTTGACGATATGCTCATTATGGGCAACAATCTGCCGGAGATAGCGCGGATCAAATCATTGCTCGCGAACCGCTTCAAAATGACAGATCTTGGTCCTGCGAAGGATTTCCTTGGTCTGAACATAGTTCGTGATCGCAAAGCGCGTAAAATCTGGATCGATCAGACTTCCTATATCGAAGGAGTTCTAGAACGTTTCCGGATGTCTTCGTGTAAAGAAGCTCGTACTCCCCTGCCTTCCGGCATCGTGCTCGAGAAGCATGATGGAGAAGTTGATGAAGACCGTCGTACCCGATACCAGCAACTGATTGGCAGCCTTCTATACGCCATGCTTGGTACTCGCCCCGACATTGCCTATGCAGTCATCCGTCTATCAAAGTTCAACAGCAACCCGTCAGAACATCATTGGAACATGGCAAAATACATACTCCGGTACCTTCAGGGCACCAAAAACTACCAACTTTGCTATGATGGTTCCACTGGCGCAGGCCTTATCGGTTATTCCGATGCTGATTGGGCAGAGAACAAAGACGACAGGCATTCAACCACGGGATATTCCTTCTTCATCGCCGGTTGTGCAGTGACCTGGGTTTCTAGACGCCAACCCACGGTCGCTTTGTCCTCAACAGAGGCCGAATACATGGCTCTGAGCGATGCTACGCGCCAGATTGCCTGGATCCGCACTTTGCTGACTGAGCTCGGATATGACTTGCCATCCACGCCTCTTTGTGTTGATAACCAAGGCGCTATCTTTATGGCAGTAAATCCAGTTCATGATAGGAGGACGAAGCACATCGACATCCGCTATCACTTCGTACGAGAATCCATCGAAGCTGGCAATGTCCAACTTTACCATGTGCCGACTGATGCGATGATCTCCGACACGCTCACAAAGTCTCTGGCATGGGTGAAGTTCCAACAACATCGGCTGTCTTTGGGTCTTCGTGATCCGACTGTTTAGTCGAGTGGGAGTGTTGAAGCTTGTTTGTATTAGCGACTATCACAGTATGTAGACATGACATCATAAGTAGTATTCTTAGATTACTTTGGCTCGCTCCACAATGACCTCATACCTGACCTCATTATTGCGTCATCCATTACTCATCTATGATATCATTACTCCACTATGACATCATGATATCTGCTCCAGACTGGTATATAAACCTAGTACTATACGCTCCATATCCTCAGCTCCTGTGTCTTACACTCGCTGAGGTATGCATTCTCCCTTACGATCTAATGACCCTTACTTATGACTTGTACCACAGACTCTGTGTCTTTAGGTACAGCTAATGTACAGCTCCTGTGTCTTACACTCGCTGAGACTCTGTGTCTTTAGGTGATCACTACTGGTCGTATCTCCACTGCGCGGTATTGTCTGCGACATTGGGACTCGTTCAATGGCAATGCCTCGGCTGCGACAGAACGCTGTGAACATATCGTTGTCGAACTCACTGCCCAGGTCGACTCGGACATTCTTGAGTTTTCGTTCTGTTTGGACTTCCGCCTCCTTGAGCCATGCTGAAAACGCTTCCAGGACAGTTTCTTTCCGCTTGTTCGTCAAGAACACGGGAAACTTCATGCTCGTCCCGCCGTCGGAGATAAGCATCAAATAAACAGCATTCCCCCAGCTTGGCGTGCGTGCACGCCCCCATAGATTGAGATGGACCCTCTCGAGAGGTTCCCTTTCGTGTACCACCTCGTCATCAAAGGGCATTTTGTCCTGCTTCCCGAGGATGCAGTCTTTACACATTCCACGTATGTCCCCTGTGGTAATGTCTAGTCCCGCAACTGATTCTTTTGTGGCCATTCGTTGAATTGCTTTGATGTCAGCATGTCCTAGTCGTCGATGCCAGTTCTCAATCGTTGTTGGCTGCTTCCGATTTCGACCGGCTATTGCAACAACTGTTCCATCCACCTCATCGACGACATCAACATTGTAAAGCCTGCGACCGTTTGCCAATTGTGCCGAGAACCTTCCATCCATTACGGTAACGCCATCTGGATTGATCACAGTCAAGATTCCTCCACCCCATGAACCTCTGCATCCGCGTGAGTCCAGTGTCGTGATGGAGACGAGATTCATGCCAAATGCAGGTGTGTGGAGTGCATCAAACCGTACACGGCGCAGGTCCCCCGATGAAATGCGCACAACCAGCTCAACTTGTCCTCGACCCAGGATGGTGAATGTGCCACCATTTTTCACAGCGGTATTGCCTGTCATTGATGATTCTTTGTAGGTGATAAACCTGGATCGATTGACGAAGCAGTGTTCCGAAGCACCTGAATCCAGGAAGGTGGAAACTTTTTCGTGATTTTGTGACGTGGTTTCCGTGGTACAAGTTATCGGTAGAGATTTGTGCAATTGACTACTACTCAGAATGGAAGCAGGTGGTCTTCCACATCCAATTCTGAGCAGCTCGTCAGACTTTTTGCACACACCATCGCAGCGTGGTGACATACCATCGCTGTTAAGGTGAGTCGCTAGTGCATACGTCGTGATGGGATTGCTGAATGCCGCAGTGGTAGTCGTAGGGATGGCCTGTGTGTAATTCACTGGGGGCGAAAGCATGGCATGGGTGTTAGGATAATTCGACGATGTTGCTTGGCGTGCTTCTTTCGCTTGTCGATGGGCAGCAACGAGCATGGGGTTGGGTTCTTTTCCCCGTGGAGCTTTCCACCATGATGGAGCCTGTCCTTCTTTGCCGCCGCCACGCGCCCAACACACTCGCTGGTGATGTGTACCACCACATGCAGTACACGTAGTCGCACCTCCCGGATTTGTTGGGGCATGAATAGTTAGCGCTTTTGTCGAATCCTTTGTATCCTCCTCGTTGATCTTCTTCAGCCATACCATTTCCCACCAGTCTCTGAGATTTGCGATGAGAGGCTGGACTTGATTGAAAGTCTGAAGCACTATCAGAGATGCGCCGAATTCCTCCTTCAGGGGCGAGTTGAGGATAATTGTACACATTTGCTGATCGGTGACCAGCCCGCCAATTCCGTGCACATCGGCACAAAGTTTAATAAGCTTGTCAATATGCCCGGGAAGATACCGCGTGTCCTTGAGTCGGAGATCTCGTAAACGTTCCATACGGATTCCAATAAGAAGCTCGGTGCTCCGGTTGAATTTGCCAATGAGACTGGTCCACATTTGATGTGCAGTGTCCGATCCGCTGATATCGTGCGATCGTGGATCTTTTATATTTTGGTACAGCATGGTAGCCACCCATCCATCTCGAAGCGCCCACTCATCGGGAGATGGAAACTGAGAATTTAGAAGAGTGTATCCGATGGCTGATTGAACGAAGCTGGTAGGTAGAACAATGGCTCCAGTGAGGTAGCCCTCGAGCCCACATCCTCTTGCCATATTGAACATTCCGTCCTTGAAATTTGACCAGTTCGACCCATCGGTAGACAGTTTTTGATCATCGGGGAGAATCGGGGTCGATGGTAAATTTGTTGCCATGTCTATAGTGCCGTCGAATGGGATTTTGGATATTGAGTCTGTGTTGGCTATTGAATTCGGCACTACTGATTTTTAGACCGTGCAGTGGTTCCCGTTTCACGTCTGACTGCAAATCTGTAGACGACAAGTGATCGTAGGTCCTCAGTCGAGCCCAATAGTGGCGGTAAGACTCTTTTATTTACCTGTAGACGACGAGTGATCGTAGGTCTACATGTATGCTAAGTAATGAGTCATGAGAGAATAGACGTTGGAATACGCACCCTCAGTCGAGCCCAATAGTGGCGGTAAGACTGAGGGATGCGACCCGAGAAAAAAACTGTATATGTATGAAATCCCGTGATATGTCAAACACGCACGTAATAGCCTGTACGCCATATGATCTCAACAGGGAACTCGAAGTCCATTTACGTAATGAATTGGAGCTCCCTGGGGTGCGCTTGATTGCTGATTAATGATTGCGATTGCACAGCCTTCGCGCTTGTTTCTCTTGCAATTGTCCCCACTCACTATCTTCCCACTCCTCCCATATCCCACCACCGCGAATTTCTAGAGCTCTGCAAGAAAGGTGACTGAAAGCAGCAACTCCCTTTTGGACTTATCAGGACGCCCCTAACTTTTGGTGTGGAAAACTTACATTAAGAATCCCCTGTGAAAGCCTACGCGTCTCTGCAATGCGCTAAACAAGGCAAATGTATCATTCTTGATGCTGCTCATGCCATGCCATCCATCTCCTGTCGTAACCCCCTTTCACCCCAAGCAGCTTGGAACTGCTGTGCTAAGCTGCTTCGCGTTCGTTTCGTGGCGTTGAGTACCCTCGATTTCACCGAATGAAAACTAGACTTTCTCTTCTCGTTCTACAGAGCCTTCCATGCGATCCAGTCAAGTTCGATTCCCAGATCGAAGCTGGCCGGAGACTGCATTCCTACCCTCGGCCACTACTGATCCCGATGCGTTGCTCTGTTCTGCCCCGCAGAAGCCCCGCCCGCCTCAAACGTCACACGGGGAGGTAGAATTCCAGGCTTTATGCTGCTTCTCAAGTACATATATATAGACCTGGGTGACCGGCTGCATCTACCCACCACCAAAATGTTCCTCAAACACGTTGCCGCCGCTGTCCTGCTGAGCGCTTTCGCCTCTGCCCGCCCTGAATTGAGCTCCGTACGTACCCATGAGACTGCCAATCTCAGCCTCTGATACTATTGAGCAGTCCGTTTCTCCATCGAACCTGAAGGGAATCGTGAGCGCCGTGCCACCGTTTGCTTGTGTTTCATTGCTTACATCGAGACTTCCTCTCTATAGCAAGCCGAGCCCATGACGATCTTCAACTCGGCGGCAAACTCGACCTTGTTCATGTTCCCGAACCCGGACGCCTCCGGTCCAGCGGGTGTGCCCATCAAGACCGATGGGCCAGAGCAGGGAGATTACTCTCGGGTGCGGTAATCTGTGGCCCAGCGACCTGCCCACTCCCTAAAAATCATTGCCAGTGGGATAGATACTACCTGTCCAAGGACCACTACTGGTTCAAGAACATCGGGACCGGGTACTGGCTGATGGTCGACCAAAACGATGTGCGTATGATCCGATCCTTCATGTCAGTTCACTGCAGTGCTGATTATGGAGCCAGACGCTTGTCGCGGTGCCCGACGAGACTCCCACCATCTTCGTTGCCCGCTCCGTCGGAGCGCAGAAGTACGTGGTAAGCGCACTTACTACATCCCCCACATCCTCGAAGGCACTGATGCGGTGATTGCGTGCCGCCAGATCAGTCCGCGCGACAAAGATACGGCCTGGCAGCCTACTTACGGCGCGAGCATGATCTATGGATATGTACGTATTTCATTCGCTCGACCATCGTCCGATCCGGGCGCTCATGTAACACTTGCGCAGCTTGGTCTCCGGCCTCGCGATGAAAAAGCGGATCAACACTGGACTTTCCGGCATTCCAGTGGCGCTGCCGCTGCCCCCGAAAGCTTGGACTGACGTAGAAAATGCAGGATTTGTCATGCCAGAGAGGATGGGGACGCCGATGCACTGCGATTTCAGAACATACATAAATCCTAGGATACTTTTGTACGGGACCCTCAATCCCGGGCTGGCATCTTGTCCGTGCAATCTGATCAAAGTTCGATACTCGCCATAAGTAAAACCCAACTCACAAATAATTCTTTTCTGAGAGATTTCCGGATCATGAGAGATATCTTCCTGGGAATCATTTTGGAGATCAAACTGATGCCAGCAGATACGATACGCGACATGTCTGAAATGCCTCTGATGCGATCTGACCGCCATCCTCGTCGATCTCACAAGAATTGCTTTCCTTGCGCAGAGAATCATCCCGGTCGATCACGGCGGAGAAGTCACACTCATCGCACATCGTGCACCGCCCAGCGAGCCGTGATCCTCCCGTTTCATTGAGTCGCAGCTATAAAGATCCGTTCGCAGCCTGTGCATCGCTGGCGATGGCATCCCGATGCGTGATCCCGTTCGGGCGAATACAGTGTTGCGTGTCATGGTACTGCCCGGATTCCGTGATTTCATGAGTTGAGACGCGCGCGCGAGTACATGGGTCATCGAACGCCGGGTTCGATGCAGTCATCGTGAGGATTTGGGACGGTGCGTGAGAGGAAGCAACGGAGGGCGGGCTCATATAAAAGGGCTTGAGCGCAGCTGGATGAAGGTATTCACAGAAACACCAACACATTCTACTTCACTCCCATCCTACACTCATAAACAGCTCATTCCATGTCGACACAAAGGGAAAAACACAACAGAGTTTTCATCGCCTGCCTCAGCTGCCGCAAATCCAAAGTAAAGGTTCGTTCATCTCAGGCTCAGTTCAATCCCGGATGGTAATTGAACATATACAATCCAGTGCCTTAACAACAACGAGGACGATCAGCCCTGTGCCCGCTGTATACAGCGTAACCTCCCCTGCGTCTACCAGCCCGTGAACGCATCAGGCGGTGACGGCATGGCCCAGAATGCCGGAGCGTCGACGAGCCAGGCGGGGTATTACTACCCTGAGGGACAGACACAACCCTACGCCGGAAACGATTATCAATACAGTTACAGACAAGACCAGCAAACTCAGCAGCAAGGCCATTACGACCCCAATAATCAGGGCTATTATTACCACAATGGGGCATACTACGGCTCCGGATACCAGGGTAACTAGTATCGCCACATCCAGGGTTAGTTCGCTGTTTTCTCCAGAGGTTTATTTGAATTTGACTGACGGGTTCCAAAAGGATTTGAATTTTCACTTAGTTGGACCGCGATAGAGTTTCGGCATACAATACTACTTATTATAACATCCTTAGCTAGTAGGCGATTGTACCTTATTTGTGCTCTTATGCGGGATAATTTCATCCTCGAGAGAAGGTTTGCACCTTAACAAACCACTTGAACGAGGTTTTCCGATGTTTTAATCCCCTGTCTTCTTGGTAATCTTGCCGTCTACTCATGGATTTCCATCAGATGTACTCGATACATATCAGGAAACGAGTCTGTCTGCTGATATGTACAACCGGTGAGAAAGAATACCAGAATCGGTTCGGCTGTGTGACCAAGAAGCATTAGTTCTTCCCGTGCGGTTAAACTGACAACATGGACACCTCACTGCTCACTGCAATGCAAAAAGAGATAACCAGGGGCATTGACAGATTCAGGACAAACATACACGACAACAGGTACAGACGGGATCTAGTGGAAAATGCAACAGACATGGGGATGAGATACACAGCATGAAGTGAGGTACAATAACTTATGCATAAGAATGAGCCGAACACCAAAGCTTCAATAGAAGCCGTCGTAGTCGTCCTGCGCACCGCGCAGATCCACATCCGGCATAATGATGTCCGAGTCGATGCGTCCGCTGGACATGAAGACATCCTCGTCCCCCGAGAGCTCGTCGTCGTAGTCGTCCACCCCATAGGGTTGGTAGTCCTTCGCAGGGCTGGCCGATGCATCGAAGCTGACGTGGACGGTATACTCGTCGTCGTCCTCCTCCCCAGCCGACTCTTCCTCTGATGAGGATGACGACGACGAAGACTCATCATCCGACAAATCGAAAAACAGAGCCTCCTCCTCCTCGTTCGCAGGACCCAGGAAGTGGCTGGGCAGAGACAAGCGGAAGCTGTCGATGATGCCCACCACGACACCTTCGGCCGCCTTCCAGATCGTCGGGCGCACCCTCTGCTTGAGCACGACCCGGAGGTGTTCCAGCTTCGTCAAAACGTCCGCGCTGCCCTTCTCGAGACACACCTGCACGCACGCGCCCTGCCACGCGTTGGACCAGGCGTTCCAGTCGGCGCCCGGCAGGGCGGGGATGTGCTCCATCGTGCGCAGCCAGAAGCTGTTCATCGACAGCGAGCCGACGAAGAGGCGCTCGCGGTGGATCGGGGTGATATGCGCCATCCTGCGGGAGGAGAAAAAGTCGTCGTCTTCCTCGTCGTCGTCGCCGAGACACTCCGCATCTAACCGCTTGCGCATTTCGTAGTAGACCTGCCCCTGCATCATGCGCAGGCCCAGCTCCTCGCCAAAGTCCATCGCTTTCATGATGTCGAGCTCCTGCCGCGAGACACGCCAGGCGAAGGTCTGGGAAACATCGTCTTCAAAGGGAAAGTCCTTCTCGAGATCCTTCATCGGCAGTCGGCGATGCAGACGGAGCAGCGCCATGTACTCTGCGTCGGTACAGTGTCTGAGCCGGTCGGCTGAGTCGCGCGAAAGTAGCTCGGCGATGGCGTCCACGGCATATGCTGTGAAGTCGCGTCGCTGGAGCTGGAGAGCAAGGGAAGTGGCGTTGACGAGCTGCAGAACAGTCACGCCTCGCAACTGCACGATCGCCCCTCGTCTGTAGTGGGTGTAAGAGATCGAAACTTGGAGAGTGATAACAAAGAACGCACGGTGCATATGCAATCCGCAGGTAGTCCCGCATCTCCTGCACATCAACAAAGTACAGCCGGACCGGGTCACGAGCAGTGCCTCTCGCCCCAAAGAGGGCCGGCACCCGATTGCGGGTGAATGGATTTGAGACGTCCGGTAGAAGGTCGCCGTCCTCGTTCGTTGGGACCAGTATTTCCTGGTTGACCTGCGGCCGGGTAAGCCCCAGTCCGGCAGGGTAGAACGAAGCAGCGTACCTTGAATAACACGCCTTGCACCTCAATGACAACATCGCCATCGCGTCGCCAGAACTGCGCGTCCCGACGCGCCGGCAGGATCATCTCCTCCTCTTCGAGCACATGGCCTAAACGCGTCCGGCGAGTGGTGTAGTTGCTGGGCATGGTGTGTGCGAGGGAAGGAGGATAGTGGCGCGTCTCAGCATGCCAGACGCCCCGGCTTTATATCGCGGCAAGATGAACACCGACACGTGAGGAGGACAATGGAGAGAAGTCCACTGCGGCTCTAACCAATTGATAGTGCATCGCGTGTGATGCGATCGATGGGTGGACGAACAATGGGCAGAATGTGACGACGTTGAAGCCCCATGCGACTGCTTTCCGATCGATGGCTTGGGTAAGAGCGTTCATCGGGGTCGGGCGCCCGCCATGTCGAAGCTGCCGCCGCCGACGCTTGTCATGCTCGGTCATCCTGTTACCAGTGGAAGACTCGGAGGTAGCCTTGCGAGGCGCGCTAGAGGGAGCATAACAAGAGAAGATCGGGAGCGCATTCAAGGCTTTCTACGGACTAGAGCCTGATGGGTTCCGTGATACGGCAGAAAATGGGTTGCCGTGAGCGGTGGGCAGGGTGCAAGCGTTGGCGCGTCCACTACGTCACGACCACGTGATGATCATAACACCTTGACAGTCACACCGAGTCACACACGCGTCCTCAGTCACTACGCCCAAGATTACTTGTACATAGCTTATGCTGAGGTTCTCTGCTGGCACAGAATTAGGACTTGGAATAATTACAGTAGGGCGAATTCCTAGAACCACGACGCAACTGCTGCTTTGAAACCCGATGCCCGCACGCTGGGTCCCTCGAGTGTTCTTTGTTCTATGCTTCAAGAGGTTCGTTGTTGGGACTGCTTCCAATTTAATAAAGAAGGGACGTATTCAGAATCAACTATCCCCGGAGGGGGGACATACCCCGCAGTGTGACGTGAACCTGATCACTATGTGACGGCTCTGAAATTTCGCCCCTCACGCAATGGCTTCCACATGAATCAGGTACTAGAGCTATGGAAAATAACATGCGGCGATCTATTTTCGATGAGAATCTTGTGCAATACGCCACAGAGCTGGATCCAATAGGTTTGTCGAACAAATATCAGAGGATGGTGGACGATGAAGAGAAATTGCTCGATGCTATGAACCACAGAATTCGTGTGCGAAATTTACGCTGGGTCAGACTAAATGTTTTTAGTATTGTCTCCTGTTCGGTCAGATGTACGACTTCGATGGCGCCGCGATATGACCTAAAACACTCTGAGTGATTGGGGCTGATCAGAAGCCGACGTGCTCTGAAATTGGATCATACCCGCCGCTACTGACTGTAGGTGTTCAGATCCCCTCCTTCTTTCGAGCTAAAAATCAGCTTCCGTCCATGAAGCCACACTAGATCGTGTCACTCAGAACCATAAAGAGAGATGGAAACCAATGAGGATGGAAGAGATTTGTAATTGACCTGGACTATTTATTCTCTAAGCACCTGGCGAGGCTATTCGCTGATACATACAATGATGAAATGGCCGTAGTAATACTCTGATCAGAGGAAATGAGTCAAAATGTGAAACCACGGAAGTGAGCCGAAAAAAGTCCCAGTGGCACTTGCATCACTAATCCGGCCACTTACATTCTCTGTGTCAATTAATTCCTCAATCACCGCACATGACCGCTGCAGCCGCGTCCCATTGAATGGCCATCGCCACGAGACGGCATCACATGCAAGCACTCACGTACTGTAGTTAAGTCCTGCGTACAATGAGTCGGGTAAACGGGGCAGGACACCCACGCAATGTCACATTCGGTGAGAGCTCGGCCATGTTCGTCATACGAGTAATCCCTAGCCTGGATCCATGACACAGAGGCAGCGAGAGCGTGGATCACGTGTCTGGAAGAGACCCGCGTTTGATTTTTCCACTGCGTCATCTGATTGTGAAAAGCCTCATCTTGCTTGTTCATGTCCTATTTTGAAGTAAGGCCAAGACCTCAAATGTGGTGCTCGCCGGTGTATAAAAAGCTCTGGAGATTCGATTGACACCAGAGTCTCAGCATTCCCTGCAGCCTCTACTCCTACTCGCAGAAACTTCTTGCCAGATCTCCAATCACACACAACGCAAACGATGTCGGTCTCAAACGCGACGATTCTCCCTGGTGTAGTGAGGGGCCTCGCAAAGCCTGAAGCCACCAAGAAACTGCAGGAGCTACTCATTAAGGATGGCAAGGAGCATCACTGTTTCTTCAACGACCGCGGTTTCCACAACCACCTCGCGGACCAGTTCGTCTCGCCAAGGCTCCGGCCGAGTTCCATGGCTGATTTTGTACCACAGCATTATTGCCGCGTACGATATGGGCGCGTCGCCGGAGCTTCTGGATGAGATCTACAAAACGGAGGCGCAGGAACAGCGCCCCCTTGGGGAGACTGGTCCACTTCTGGACGATGTGCGCTGGCAATCGCGTCTCGGAGATCCCAAGTACGTGCTTGCCTTCCTTGAATTGCTGATGCTCATTGCTGTGATGTGCAGTGCGTATGCAGCCTACCTCGTCTTCTTCCAGGAGAAGATCGCGAAGTATGGGATTACCAAGACTCTCGAGGATTACTTGATGTCGCCGAAGGCTAACGGCAAAGGCGCGTCGATGTTTGGGCGTCTCTTTGGTGGTGCACTCCATCCCATCATCCACGTCGGGGTGAGTCGTTCAACCGCTGTGGACGGGAATATCTCAATCATGTGTGCACGATAGTTCGGTGCGGAACTGGGTCTTGACTCTCTAATCGCTCAAGGTGCGTGCCTTATCCTCGTCAGCGCAATCGGATTCTTGGATCTGACGCACCTTCAGGCCTCGCCATGTGCGCCAGCACGGAGGGCGACTTCTCCTCCGTGGTCGCCGACCACTGGACCACCGCAATGCCCAAGGTCCCCGAAGTCCCCACCAAAGGTGTCACGCTCTTCTCGATCCTCCGCCAGGTGTATGAGTCTCCCGACTTGCTCCCGACTCTGCCGTACTCCCCGAACGACGCGATCGGGACTGGGTACTACAAGCTCTGCGACTCTCCGAAACACACCCACGCCCTGCGCAGCCTGTACTCCAAATGGTCGATCGACACGACGCTGGAGGGCGCCGCATTTGACGCGGAGATCAATAAACGCGTCGAGGAGGCGCTCTGGCAGGCGATGCTGTTCACCGCCGGCACGGGGCGCACGGGCCACGCGCCCCGACTCGATTTCTTCCTCATGCACTCGATCACGACCGCGATCGTCCTGCCCCGCCTGCTCGACGCGCTGCCGCAGAAGCTGCACAAGGTTCAGATGCTGCAGGGCTATGCGCGCGCCTGCGCCGCGTGGGCCATCGCCCGCGGGCGCCCGCACATCAACCCGTCGCTGCTGATGTCCTACCCCGCCCTTCCGGCCCCTGAAAGCCTCAAAACTAGCACCGCTGCGGATCCTTGGGCCCCGATCATCACCACTGCGCTCGACCACTACGACGCCCACCTCGTGAAGACAATCCGCGCATTATATTACGGACACATCAACTACGGCAAGGTCGCCGCGGGCCAGGTGCCCGGCGCGGTGGATGAGAATGGCAAGGAGACTCATCCCGGTCTTGGGAAGCTCGATGGAACGGCCTGGATCCGTGCGGCAGGTGTCACCTGCAGCTCCTTGGGCTGGATGGCGTTCGGAGAGAAGGCCGGCGATTGGGATCGTAGTGGGCTTGGTTGGGACGCGGCGTGGGAGTGAGCTCTCAGTTAGCGACCTAAAGCATTACTCGAAGCATGTACGCGCGAGACAAATATATCTGGAATGACAACGCTGAGCATCCAGAAAGGGTCGCTTCCCTGACAGCAACAGGACTTGAAGCCAATGAGACTAGTAAGGCTGTGATCAACCAAGGACCCTTGCTATTGGAACCATGATTTCAGTATTAAATGAAAGCTCATGACGCGTAACCGGTTTTCTGATGAAAGATCTCTCGCTCAATGAGGGATCATTAAATAAAACGGAACTCTGATTAAGGTAGATCGCTGCATGAACAAGACGTCCTAGTTGTACAGGAGGTGCCCCATGGGCTTGTACGGCTCCTCCAAATACTCCATCTCCTCCTCGCTCAAGTGAACATTCACAGCACCTATCACACATCAGATCTCAATCCCCGATCGAGAAACACAACATACCGATGAGGTCATCCAACTTGCTCAGCGAGGTCGTGCCGACGATCGGCGCAGACACACCTGCGATACGGGTTAGCAAGGACCCGAAACAGATGTACGGAAAATGCACGCACTGTCTTTGGCCATGACCCACGCCAGCGCCACCTGGGCCATCGTCGCCTTGTGCTTTTTCGCGATCTCCTCGAGGCGCTCGACGATCGGCTTGCTGCCATCGCTCAACGCGAAGTATACATCAGCGGGCAGCTCGTCGCTGTCCTCCCGAGCCGAGCGGACTCGGGCCTGCTCGGCGGTCTCGGTAGCTGCCGCAGCGGCGGACTGCTGCGAGGTAGGGGCAGACGGCTGCTTTGGCTTCGAGCCGGGGGCAGCAAAGACCGCCTAAGGGAGAGCAGGTCAGTAGAGAAAGATTGGGATACCAATTGCACCAGCCTTGATCATGGCCATGGCTTGGACGGCCTCAGTGCTGGGCGGGGCGTACGGGCGGGTCAGAGCGCCACGGGCGAGCGGAGACCAGGGGATGGACCCCACACCAAAGTGCTTATGGCGCAGTCAGTTCCCGATCGCAAGGTAGACATAGGACTCGACACACCTTGAGAGTGGGCATCATCTCGCGTTCTTCCTCCCGGTGCAGTAGGGAGTATTGGTTCGACATGGAGATGAAGGGGGTCAGGTGGTTGGTGATCGCGTAGTCTTTCGAGAGTCAATGAGCAAGCAGAACGGACGAGAGAGAAGGAAACCAACTTTGCATAACGTGGACTAAAGAACGATAACTCTGTCAGCAAGCGGGTTCCAAGAATTCTCAATACACGTACACTGCCATGCAAAGCAGGAGCTCATGCCAATGTAGCGGACGTAACCCGCTTGAACGACATCGTGGAGGGCTTTCATCTGGAACCGAACCATTAGATGGCTCTTCCGCGAAAAGCAAGAGCAGTCTTACCGTCTCCTCAATAGGTGTGGCATAGTCGAATCGGTGGCCTTCAGTGTTCAAAAATCAGGGCTTAGCTTCATAGATCGAAAAAAAAACACCGACATTGGAGCACATCGATGTAGTCGACCTGCAGCCGCTTCAAGCTCGCCTGCACAGAGTCGAAGATGTGCTTGCGCGAGAGCCCGTGCTGGTTCACATAACCGCAGTTATCCGGCCCCTTCACGAACAGCTCGACCGCGTTCGTGTCCGCGGTCTTTCCGACGGGATGGCGGACCTGCGCACGAATCAGCTGTGGCTCGGAGTTGAGATCAGCCAGGAGGAACACTCACCTTGGTCATGATCACAATCTCCTCACGCGGCAGACCCAGCTTCTTGATGGCCTTGCCGAGCGCCACCTCGCTCATCCCGTTCGAATAGACCTGCGCGTCATCATTCAACACGCTGCGCACGAAACCGCGCACGAAACCGCGAAAGAAACGGGCGGCTCACGTTCGCGGTGTCGAACGTCTGGATCCCCGCCTCGTACGCGTGCTTGATGTGCTTTGCCGTCTCCTCCTCGTCCAAGATCCACGAGCGCCACTCGGGCGAGCCGTATGACATGCAGCCCAGAATGATCTGGGAGACTTTGAGGCCTGAGTTGCCGAGGCGCACTGTTCGGGAGGAGCAGCAGTGAGTACGGAAGGGCGCATCAGATGAAGAAAACGCGCACCGTATCCGACGCGTCTTTGGGGGGTGGTTTGGGTCGAAGACATCGTTGATTTTGCAGGCGCCGGAAAGGTTTCTGTTTGTGTTGACTGCGGCAGGACAACCCGCGCGTCTTATATACACACTGCATATTTCAAACTCGAGCTAGCCTCAGCCACTCGACGCGTCACTCGGCACACTCGCTAGGGCATGGGTGGGCCCAGCGGATAGACCCCGCCCGTCTTGGTCAAGGATGATGACACCTCACACTGCGTGCTTCAGTGAAAGGTAACAACGTGGGCACCGGTTCGCAGGGACGACGCGGCAGAGTATCCTACGAACGCGTGCGGCAGGCGCTGGACGACCGGCGTAGATCGGCCTTGGAGGTCGGGAATGGGAGGTCCAGGTCTATTCAAGGCTCTGATCGGTTAGAGCGGAGTGCCGATTACTGATCCCATCAGTGCATGCAGTGTGCACCCCTGGATTTCGGGAGTGACGACGCAGTGCGGGACTGGACGCATCCGGATCTCGGGATATTAGAGATCCCGGATCTCTTTTTCATATGCTCACCATCCCTTTACCAGGAATTTCTGCCCGCACGACTTCCTATGTCTGTTTTTCGTCGACATCCGAGACGAGGTCTATCGCTCAGAGCAGTTCAATCGAGGCGCGGACCAGACACCTGTTTGTCGGACAAAACGAACTTTTCACGAAAAGCCACGAGAGAACACGAACGACTATATGGCGATCGAGCCTTCCTTCGGGGGCGAGAAAAGAGCCGAACTGGGTTGCTCAGAGGAGTTGATGCCTCCCATATACATGAGGTACGCCATTAAATCTTGAATACCGGATTCCAGCCCATGTCACTTCATTGTCCCTTTCCCAATGTCCTTCTCTGCAAGTTTTCCGCACCAGTCTGCAGCGGGTTCCAAGTGGCGCCAGGAAACTGCGAATCGTGGTTTGACGGCAAGGGAGAAAGCCGACGCATGGTCAATAGTGGGATCCTCTGCCAGAACGGGCAATACCCTCCAAGCTGTAGGCGCTGATCAGCAGTAACATTATTGCTGCATTTTTTTTTTTGCCTGCAATCCCACCGACCGTCCAAGGCTACATCTGGGAGGGCAGATGAGAGCACGTGACGTCGAGCTTGCTCGAGGACGAACGACTCGACAAACGGGGCTGCTGATTGGCATTTCGAGTCGACGATTGTTGGATGCAAGATGTGGATAAGAAATACACGAGATGATAAGTTCTACTTGTCGCAACCAACATCAGGTGGGGTCAGTGGAACACAAAAGCGACGCACATTGAATTCCATCTGACCACACACTCGGTGCACGACCGCTCCGCCCACCGCTCACACCACGCCATCATCCCCTATCTCCATCCCCACTCTGCGCGTCCCAGAATCCGACTTGGTCGAGCAGCGCATACACTGTGAGCGATATGTACCGGATCGCGATCAGGAAGAAATGGACGTAGAAGCCGAACATCGCAAGCGCCTTGAACGCAATGAACGCGTACCTGCCCCAACCGCTCATGCTTCAAAACCCGAACAAACCAGAAGAGGGGGAGCGGCGACTCACCCCGCCAGCGGCCGCACGGTGTACCACGCGATCCCGAGCCCGAACAACGCGTACACGGGCGCACGCACGCGTTTTTGCAGGTAGCATGCGTTCGCAATTGCGAGCAGGAGGGCTGTCTGGCTGACCGGGTGCAGATTGTGGAAAAAGGGGAAGGGGAGGAGCACGAAGTGCATCGCGTCGGGGTCGTGCGACGCGGTGAAAAAGAAAGGGCTGGGCGCGGCAGGTGGCGATGCTGATGGGATCAGTGATGGGACGGACTTGCACTGCCGCGGGGACTTTGGCCGACGCTGAGCCAGTGAGAGCTGATGATAATCGACTGAGCTCTGCAGAACTATGCTCGCAGGCGCTTCAATTACAGCATTGGTTGTGAATTACTCTACTCTCACTCATTTGCGAAGAAATAATTATCATGTCCGGCGATTCAAGTGACGATGACAGCGTTTGGCATGGTGGCCAGTCAGCTTAAACTCTGGCCGCGATGACACTGGGAGATCTACGTCTGAAGGCGAACCGCGGATGAGAATCAGCCCCGGATCGAGATGCATCACCGGCGCATATGTTTCATCCACGCTCCACTTGTCCAACTTGCCCCGGCGGCGAATTTCGCCTGAATATGGGTGGACCCGGGTGGAAGTCGCAGAAGCCACGATCCTCGAAAAGTGATCACTGATTCCCGTTGCGGCACCGACATCGTCTGCGTCGATTAGTGGCTAAATCACTTCGTTGTGGTCTGGTCACATCCCGAAGAGCCGGGTGTTCGATCCGCCCCGCGGACAGCCCCTGTCTCTGAGAGAGTGGATGCTACTAAGACCTACGGTGCCTGACAGTTCGCAACCAACTCGCTGAACGTTGTCAACTTCTCACGAACAGCGCGAGTCAGATATGATCGTGATCCCTTCTCTGCAAGGCACCCATTTTGCTCTCTTGCTCAACCTCCTCCGAATTCGTAAATTCGTACGAGATCGGCCATTTCTGTCTCTGAGAGTGGAAGTCAGCCTATCACCCTAATCACTATTCTCACTGACGGGAGTCTATCGCCACATGCGCATCGGTCTTTTTGTCTTGCACGGTCGGACTCCACAAGCCCTGCGCCTCGCTTCATTCATTCTGAGACAAGTAATGGAATCACGGGAAGACGCTCCGACGTGGTGGGCCATGATAACGGGTACGAATCAGTATCCAAATCTGATGACCGTCGAGTGCTTTCAATTCATTCGCTTCAAGAAGCCAACACAATCCCAGCTCAGTAGTGCAGAGTTGGGGTACTGCTGTGCGAGTAGTGCCTGGGATACTTGGATGTGACTGGGACCTGGTGATACGTCTGATCGACGCTCCGATGGTCTCAAATCTCTGTTGAACATCGCACCCACTAACTTGGTGCTTACTGGATTATATCACTGACCATCTAGCCGGAGATCATCGGCATGCGCTATCCTTCACCACTTCACTCTCGGCTGACTCTATATCGTAGAGTACAATCAAAGCTGAGCCTTGTGGATCGACAAACCCTGCCTCTTCCAACCAGCAACTTTTGGTGATCAACTTTCATTGCTGTACTCAGGAAGGTTTTACTGATTTGCATGGGAGACAGCTTTCTTGAACTACTTCGTATTCATGGTCTTGACTCGATTTTGGGAGGACATCGACCCTCAAGCTTCGAGCAAGGATGTGTAGCCCTCCGGGGCGTGATACGAAGATTGTAAGCACGCGGAAATCCGGATCCGGATCGGCAGTGGGAGATGAACGAATAAGCGGACCAGATCATTGCATTCAGCAATCTGCATCACATCCCGCGCTATTCAATGCAAGTGCCTGTAAACAATATAATTCTATTCGTGTCTGTTGTCGTGAAACTCAACGCGGCGGGCCAGTGATGCTAATCAACGTGCCTTGCTGTGAGCGTATAAAAGGCTCCCGTACGAGCTGGAGATGAGACTCAGTCCAATCTCACCGACCGACTACGACCATGTTGTTCAGCCTTAAATCCCTCGTCGCTGCCGCCGCCGTAGCCCTCATGACCGCGTCCAGCGTTTCTGCTCAGTACGTCGACGTTCAGCTCTGGCGACGGAGACCCCGAGTGTAACCCGGATTGACATATCTACTTGCTCAGCTGCCAGTGCATCATCGTCCCCCGCGAGGTTGAGGGCCGCGAGGTTGGCGCTGCGATTGCCGGGTTAGTCCGATTGTTTGGCGAGTTTTATAATGGCGTGTGCTGATCAGCCGTTCGCTCCTATAGCCGGGTGGCCATCGACTCGTGCTGTTTTACTCTCAGCGCGTTGCCACCTCGTGCGACTGCTTAAATCATTTATAATGCAGTACTACAGGAGCTGGAGATATATATGTACAGTATATACAGTGCCCGAGATTAAGTTACGGTGGACAGCCGACGAGTTCGGTATCTCAATTTCATCCTTGATCCCACTCAGTTTGAGAGAGTAAGAAAGGATAGAAATCTTTGCAGTATAACTAAGCAGATTTAACATGAGTGTCACTGAGTTCAACCAGGTACAGATAAGATAACAGTTCGCGTATTACTCGATTAGATTAGATTGAGTCAACACATGAATTATCAATGCATGGAATCTACGCTGGCGGAACCTCGAAATGCTCGGCCCAATAATGCATAACCAATTCAGACTCTCTCTTGAACCAAACATCCGCTTGCAAACCACAAACCAGACACGGCCGCCACGCAATCTGAGCGTGGACATCGGCGATATGCGCAGCGACGTCACCGCGGAAGCCCCAGTGCGCGTGAAAATCACAGCCCTCGATCGGACAGGGATGCACGCGGCTCTTGTGGGGGTACCCGTGCTCCCCGAGATGCTCGCGGATCGCGAGCAGCGTGAGCGGCAGGTCTTCGCCGCACGGCGGGCGGGCGGCGCGGCGGGGATTCGACCGGATGCGGCAGGGCACCCGACTGAACGGGAGCGTCTGGTTGCGCATCGATGTGAGTGAGAGGATTTGCCGGAAGGTGAAGTCGAATCCGCGAGGCGCTCCCGGTGGGCAGCCGGCGTAGCGGGACTCGAGGGCCAGTTGTTCCTCTGAGGCGGGTTGGAAAGGCATAATGATGCCGAGGAGGTGATCGGGGGAGGGGGCGTGATCAGGTTGAGTCTTGGAGCGTTTCGAGATGTGGTCGCTGGTTCCGATGAGTCATTTTTGTTGTGTGGAAACGGATACAACAACTCACGTGGCAGGATCCGGTGAGAGAGACCGTCGACGCTTGAGGAGCGTGGTGTTTGTAACGTTCATAGTCATGGGTATCGTCAGTGCATTATCGTCGTGAGGGGTGGGAACCGGCCCAGTTGAGGTCCTGACATCGGGTGAAACCTCGGGCTCGATTAGAGAAACATCGTCCACAGCCGTGGAACCGCAGTCGGTAGATTCCTCCGCGACAGGAAATATGTTCGGATCGGTCACCATGGCGCAGAATTCCGACCATTCTGTCTCAGTGAACAGACCACCTGTGAGATAGTGATCGTCACCGACGACAGCGGAGCAAAGGGGCGAGGGCAAGGTTTCCATTCAGAGTGAAATGAAGAGAGTGAATGTCAGGAAGAATGAGAGCAGAAATCAAAGCACCTGGCTCAGAAAGAAAATAGGCCGACCATTGGGAAGTAGCCGTGCTTATATATCGGATTGGGCCTGCAGCAAAGCGTCGCTGAGTGCCATCAAGCCATTGTTGAACGAATCCGGAAGCGGTCTAAGTTTGATGGCTTCTTACGTAGCGCCGAGAAAGGAAAGTTTTTGTACGAGCTCCAGAGGATCTGATGATCACTTGCCCCGTGTTTGAGATCTCCGTCCGCAGAATTGCCCGCGTGGGTTGCAGAAGGACCTCTGATTATGCGGTGAAAACTTAGCTACTTTGTTGGACAATTTTAGGCGAAATTTTCTGAAACACTTAGCCCAAAATAGGAGGACGTTGGACAAAAATTGGGGTCTTGCGGCGTCGAACTTAGTCTGCAATGTTGGACAAAAAAGGTGTGATGGTCGGTGGATATTGGTCAAAATAGCTACCAGAGTCTGTTGTGAGGTCATGAGTTCAATATCTTATCGGAATTCATCTTATTTTGTCCCAATTTGCGTGATTTAGAGGGAGATTGATAATCAGGGTGCTATCAATTTCCACCGTAGCACTCCTATTGGACTGCTCCTTCTTAATGCAGAAGTGCAGCGCTTCAAGAGTATGACCTAAGGTCATGTAAACTTCGCAAATGCAATGAAGAGCCTCAAGAGCCAGCAGAAGAAGAGTGTGGAGTCGGACATGGAGCATTCTGATCCCGGGCGCCTTTAGCTGACCCGAAACAGCGTCTGCAATGGCCTAGATGGGCGAAAACTCCATTTTGGAAGTTTCTACATATGTGGAAATAAAAAATAGAATGCTTGGAACTTATGCCCATGTTGGACAAAAATCCCGGGTTCAGCCTCGATTTGCGTTGGACAAAAATCGACCAAAGGACCCGACATCCGGGCTAAGTTTCGACCGTATAATCAGAGGTCCTGTTGCAGAGCATCATCAGGCGTCACTTTCTCAGCGGAAGCAAATTCCTCGTAGAGTCCGATCATTCCGAAGTTGCCCGAATATCACGTGTGCCTACTATCCCCGAATAGGCTTGTCATAGTGCGCGATGCAGCAGCGCACCTGAACTGCGCGGTCCTCAGTCTACCCCTTACTCTCTTTCTCTCTCTTCCTTCTATTTACTCTGTCACCTCGAAAGAGGCGGCTGTCATTTCGGTCCGGACATCCCACGAGCTGGATAAAGGCGCACGATGGCGGACAGTAGGGCCAAGGCAGACCAGATCGCGTTCCGCATGTACTCGAAGTTGTTCCATGTTGTCCACGCAGCGCGCGCATCGGCTGAAGGACCCACTGGCCCCGGATCCGGGTCTGGGAAGACGGACAAATGGGTGAGCAGCCATCCATCATTCACCGCTACTATGACTGCCCCTTCCGCCTGTTCCACCCTCGTTTCTGTACTGACGGCTCCGTCCCATTGCAGTTCAACCTCGAGACACCTATCGTGTCGCCGGCGCCGGACTTTGACACCTACCGCGCACTTTCATCCGCCTACTACGCCTATGCCTCCACCCCCGCATCCCCAAGCGCACAAACCCATCATCAAGACCCCCCAGACCTCGTGATCGAAGTCCTCCTCGCCGTCCCGCCCCCAGGCGGGGGCACTGCACTCGTGCACGGGCCAACACAGACCCGCGTCGAACCGCAGCCCTCGCTCGTGCTGCTTGAAGAATGGCGGTTAGGCTGCATGCGGCGGCCCCAGCACCACGCTGCATCATCCTCTGCCTCGTCCACGGCTTCCTCCACTACCGCAGCTGGCGCACCGTCCCCCTCCTCCTCTTCCTCTTCGTCGTCGTCTACGTCGGAGACCAGCAGCATCGAGAGCATTGATACGGAGGACGGCGCGGATATGCAGCCGTCGACGATCTACAAGAACGCGATCCCGCTCTTCCGCGCGCTCTACGCGCTGCTGCGCGTGCTCCCCGCCTGGCGCGTCGTGCGCCGCATGACGGGCCGCCGACCGTCGACCGCGGGACTCGGCGGGATCGGGGGCGCCCGCCGGGGCGGGCTGAAGACTGTTGTGCGTGTGCGGGGCGAGGAGTCTGGTGGGGTGGCGATGAGGGCGGGGAGTGATCTGAATCGGGGGGCGGGAGCTGGAAGTAATCAGAGGGAGACGGTGCTGCGCTTTGGGGAATCGCCTGCGCCGGAGTCAGGCGCGCCGCCGCTGCCGGTGGGGACACATGTCTTTCCGGGGATCTCACATCCTGCTGGTGAGTGTTCTTGTTCCTGTCGCTTTCCGTTCGTTTCTTCGCGATTTGGCTCTCTTTCGTTTCTTCGCTTCCATTCTTCTTCACTTTCTATTTTGTTTTGCTCTTGCTTGCGGTTGCGTGCGGGTGCGCGAGGCTTCACGTACTTCGTGGTGATACAAGATCTGTCCTTCATATTCTGATGTTCTCCCTTTCCCTTCTCTTCCTCTCTATCCTATTCCATTCTGGTCTACTCCGACCTGTGTAACAGCTTTTGGCATAGGCATCGGCCAGTGTCGATCATGGTTTTGCCTTGTCCTATGCACTCTTCACATATCACTGGACCCACCCTTCATGAATGCTGTGGTTCGCACTGTTCACATGCGTTCGTCAACAGCCCTTGCACACGTTGCTCTGCTTGTTAAGATTCTACGTTTCGTGTTACCTACGTATTGCGCGGGCTTACTCGCTTCCACTCCGCTCATTGTCGAGTCTGTTGAGTACGGGCACTCCCGCGCTGTCGATCGGCTTCTCAAGCTTAGCAGACACGATCTTCCATTTCATTCTATCGCTGCTTCTTGTTGACGTCTTTTGCGTCTGGTGATTGACGCTGGGCCTCGTTGTCTCGAGCTGGGGGCGCTTTGGACCTGCCTCGCTTGTCACTCGCTGCCATCATATATACACTTCTCTACTGTGCTTGCTCTTTCATCCACGAATCGTCTCTGACCTGCACCCACTACAGGCACGCTCACATTGTCGGCGACATACTTGACCACGCCGGCATTCACACTCGAATCCCTTGAGGCGCTGCTTTCTTCGCGCTTTGCGGTGCTCGATGCTCATGTATCACGACCAATGCTGAGTCCAATGCAGCCTCTACATTCATACACCCAACCATATCCGAGTCCTCATGCGCATACACCCACATCTGCATTCACACCCTCCTCTGCTGGCCCGCGTCGACCTTTGAGCCCATCGGCGCCATCATCCCGCTCGCCATCATCACCCACTGTCCCCCAAGCGCCCTTCACGCGGACCGCTAGCGCACTCGCGCGGCGGCCATCTGGGCCTGAGGAGCCATCGGACGAGGACGAGGACTTTCTACCCACATTGGCGCGACGCAATGTCACGGTCGGTGTCAGCGGCATCATTGGGTCTTCCACAGTCGTTCCGCCATCGCCAGGTGGGCGGAGGATGTCGAATTTGGGTGGTGGGGCTGGTTCGCCGTTGGGCTCGCCTGCGCGGTATACGGTGCCGCTGCCGCCTGTTGCTGGGCCCGGGTCTGCATCCACTTCTACCTCTGCGTCGCCGGGGAGGTACACATCTGTGCTGCAACAGCATCAAAGGCAAAGATCCGAGTCAAATTCTAATTCGAGCCCACACTCCCAGCATCACATACGGCGGGATTCGAATTCGTCAACGACTGCACGAGGGCTGGACGTCGATCTGGATCGGTTCGTGCTGTCGAAGGCGAGCGGCGCGCCGTCGTCCGTCGGGTCGGAGTCCGGCAATGCATATCCTTATGCGGGGTCCGGATCCACGTCTGGGTCTGGATCTGGGCTGGTGCAGGGGCAAGGGCTGGGATCCGGATTCTTCCCCAGCGGGCGGGCACTTGGACCTCTCCCCAGCGAGCGTGAGAAGGAGCGGGAGCGGGAAAAGGGTGTACCGATTTACACGACTCCTGCTGCCATAGGCAGCGGCGGTCATTCTACTGCGTCGGGATCAGGCTCGGGCTCTCCCATCCCGATCAACCCGTTCAAGAGCGGAACGCTGTCCAGGTCGTCGCTCAGCGGTTCGTTATTGCGCGGCAGCCCCGGCCGCGGTGCGAGTCCCATTTCCGTCGCGGTGGCAGCCACTGCTGCAGGAGGGGGCGGAGGAGTTGCATTCCCTATGCCAGGATCGCCGCTCAGTGCAGTTGAGAGCGCGGGAGGTGGTCCGAATGGGCCGATTCCGGTGCGCAAGCGGTACTCGAGCAGCTTCACGCATCGATATGGAAGTGCGGGGAGCGGGGAAAGTGGAAGCAGTGTCAAAGATGCGCGCCGGGATAGCTTTGTGCGTCTTTTCTTGGTCTCTGTTTCGATCTGATTCCGCGTGTGCTTACATCTCTACCACAGAAAGCGTCGCCTCCACCTTCACAATCGCACGCAGACGATGTATCGTCGTTCGTCAAGGATCTCGACTCGGCGCAGCCGCTGCTGGCCCGATATCGGCACGAGTCGATGCGTGGCCTGCAGGACGACGAAGACGCGCGTGGCGCAGCGCATGACCGGACGGCCTCCGAATTGTCCTCGGGGTCGCGCGTATCGACCGTGCGCGCCAGCTCCACCTCGCGACGGACAACAGTAGCAGCAGCAGGAGCGGGGGCAGGGGATCCTGGTAGTCTGAGCCAGGTTCCGCAGCAAGCGCAGAGGAGCATGCTGACAAGCGAGTCGGAGGTGGACGAGCGGCTGCGGAGGATGAATGATGATTTCATGCGGAGTTTGGATGGGCTCGGATCCGGCTCGGGCTCGAATTCGAATTCGAATTCAGGATCCGGTAGCTTTGGACGGCCGCCGCCGAGCGATGTGCAGGGATCCCAAGAGGTGATTGGACGGCTCGAATTTGATTACGGGCCGTCCAGCCAGAAGGAGAGTCGTTTGCGGTGATCTGTATTCTCCCGCGACTCTCACGCACCCGTTCACCCGCTCGCTCGTGTCCCGCATCCTAGAACTATATATCTTTCCGGGCCGGTACTTACTGGCTTGGCTGGCGTACTTATGATTTCACGGCTGTCCTACAGTATACTTATGATTGTCTCGATATGCACTCCCTCCTTCCCCCATCATCCATCCCACTGTGTGTCATTCATCTAGCATCTATCTATTTCTGTGTCCCTGTCCATCCATCCAGTCTCTGCCTGACGATACATTCATGGCATACGGTACGTCGGTCAGTGTCGGGCACCTGTACGCGTTGCGCAGGCTCGCTGTCAATGTATCTGTATTCGGGTTTTGTCGTTGTGTATCCATCCGGTCTGCCTTGCGTGAACGCTATGCACGGCTCTGATATACATGCGCGTTCTCGCGGCTGAGTGAAATAAAAAGAATGTAGAATACAGCACTTTCCTGCGGATAGATAACGAGGTCGTACTTCGATGTGAGAACCGGTGTGGTTTCCATGAACGCAGAGCGAAGGACAATGACGGACAGAGAAGAAAAGAGGCAATGAGAAGTGGGGACGCAAAAACCAAAAAAGTGTCCGCGGGGTGGATCGAACACCCGGCTCTTCGGATTGCAGCTGCCACAACGAAGTGATTTAGCCACTAATCGACGCGGACATGACGACTTTGCATTTACAAGAGAATGAGAATATAAAAGTCATTCTTGAAATTGAAATTATAGCTTGGACCCGCATCTAAAACAACCCGAAGAATCATCTCGAGTCATTTATTTTGTATTTGGAAATTGGAGGAGGAATTCCGAATGAGAGAATATGATTAGAATGGTCGAGATTCTTATATTGTGCCCGTCCGGCTGAAGCCAATATTTATTCATTCAATAATTCCCCCTCAACGTGCAAATACAACCTCATTATATCCTAGTCTGTACAAGTCTCGAGGCACTGATTGCCCAGGATCTGACGTTTTATTCCGATTGTGCTGAGGGTAAGTACCAAACACGAGTCAGCGACACGTTGCGCCGACGTTATTATCTTTGAGCGTGCTTGTCCATGGGTATAAACACGCTCAGTCCTGAATTTGATGAATACGTTGGGACTCGAAGCCTCACTGCTTCAACTCGGATCTAAGAAACGAGGCTGAAAAAATGAAGATGATACAGTTACGGACAGTCAAATGATTTGACAGATTGATCCGCTTAGTCGGCACACGATCCTTTTGGCAAGAATACCCCCATCCCCAATCTTGGCTAGCTCATTCTGTCACTTGATCCCAGCAGCACCAGAATTCATTTCAGCATATCTCGAAAACAAGTACAGCAGCGATGGACGACACAACACGGACGATATACAAGCAGACAGGTCCATTATATACAGAACACAGCATGAGAGAACACATATGAGCAGCATATACTCAAGAGAAGACCGGGCCCCAGAACGGCATCTCGTGGTCGTCCACACCTTCCGTGTGCACATCGTGCATGATCACGTCGGAATCGATCCGCCCGCTGGACATGCAAACATCCTCGTCTTCAAAAAAATCCTCATCATCGTCTTCGGACAGAGCATCTTGATCGTCGCCGTGCTCGTTCTTCGAGGGGATTGACGTCGCTTGAAAGCTGACCCGGATCGTGTCTTCGCCGTCCTCGTCCTCGTCCTCCTCAGTCGACCCTTCCTCCCACGCATCCTCCTCGTCGGAAGAGTCGCAGAACACCGCCTCCTCCTCCTCCTCGTTCGCCGGACCCAAGAAGTGACTCGGCAGCGACAGGCGGAAGGCCTTGATGATGGCGGCGACGGCCGCCTCGGCCGCGCTCCAGATCGTCGGGCACACCTTGTCCTCGAGCACGACACGCAGGTGCTCGAGCTTCGCCAGGACGTCCGCGCTGCCCTTCTCGGAACACACCTGCACGCACGCGCTGTGCCACGCGGCACGCCACACGTCGCGGTCGGCGCAGGGGAGCGCCGGCGCGCGCAGCATCGTGCGCAGCCAGAAGCTGTGCAGCGAGAGCGCGCCGACGAAGAGGCGCTGGCGGTGGATCGGCGCAAGCCGCGCGACGCAGGAGTTCTCGCGCTTCGGGGAGCTGAACACGTCCTCGTCGTCTTCATCCTCGTCGTCGTCGTCGTCGTCCTCTTCCTTTTTGTCGTCCTCGGCGTCCATGCGCTTGCGCACCTCGTAGTACACGTGCCCGAGCATCGTGCGCAGCCCCAGCTCCTCGCCAAAGTCGAGCGCGGTCCCGATGTCGAACGGGGCCTGCATGTCGAAGCGCCACGCGTACGTCTGGGACACGTCCTCCTCGAACGGGTAGTTGGGCTTGAGGTCGGGCATCGGCAGCCGGCGATTGAGGCGCAGGAGCGCGCGGTACTCGGCGGCGGTGCAGTGCCGCAGGCGATGCGAAGAGTCTGCGGAGAGCAGATCGGGGAGCGCCTCGAGCGCGTAATCGATGAAGTCGCGCCGCTGGAGCTGGAGGGCCAGCGAGGTCGCGTTGACGAGCTGCATGATCGTGAATCCGCGGAACTTGGCGATGTCTTTGGTTCTGTGGTGACCAGATGAGAAACGAGCTGGTGAGACGGATATATGGATCACGAACCGGGCATACGCAAATCGTAGGAAGTCCCGCATCTCGTGCACCTCAACAAAAAACATCGGCACCGGGTCTTGCGGCGTCCCGCGCGCACCGAACAGCGCTGGGAGTCGGTTCCGGGTGAAGGGATTCATGACGTCAGGCAGCGGCTCGCCATTCTCGTCCGTGGCGAACAAAAAGTCGTGCGTAATCTGAGAAGGGAACAAATGAACGTCAGGGCAGGAACAATAGACGCGTTTGGCTTCGCGCGCACCTTGAAATGCAGCCCGGCAACGACGACGACGACATCGCCGTCGCGGTGCCAGAACTGGCCGTCCCGACGCGCCGGAATCAGCGCGTCCTCCGTGTCCACGACGTGCCCGAGGCGGGTGAGACGAGACTTGTCGGTGATCGGTTCCATAGCAGCGGCAGAAGAGGGACAGAAAGCGGTAACCAGCGCCTCCTGACGCGGTAATACATATATAGGGGGGCCAAATCGCCCCCGGTTTGAATGTGCACGTGATGGGGACAATGGAAAGAATGGTCCTGATGCGCGCTGATGCCATCGATGGTCGGGAAGACAATAAGGTGCGCCGAAGCCATATCAGGGAATTAGAGGGTTGTGATGCTCATCCGTCGTCAACGCCCCGCGCACGGCAGGGCTTCGAAGGGGGGTATGCCGTGCCGGCACGCAACGGGCAATCCTGCAGAGGACAATGCATTGAATCTAACAACTCGGGTTAGGAAGGCTGTGCGTTCGCAGCCGAATGGGGCGTGCGTCGTCGGGAGCAACCAATTCGTGGAGTCCCGCATTGATGCGATCACTCATGGCAGTGATCCGACAAAGAATTTCCTACACGAGCAATGAGGTGTTTAGTTACCGGCCGCGCGATCTGATGCATCGCCACTGATCGGAGATCCCCCCAAGGCACGGACGAGTGATCCGTATTCTCACACTCTCAAAAGCTGAGACGATGTCCTCTAGAAACTCCAGGCTTGGATTGAATCAGTGTCTTGAGGTAGCCTGGTGACGGATAAAGCAAGAAGAAGCATATCTTTTGAAACTTGCAGGTAGGACGACCCCAAACGCCAGCCTGATGGCAACCGCGAAGACGCAGTGCGGCGGACGATCTCCCCTAGTTTCCTTTCATTATCGCATTGTTCTTCCGCTTCCGGTCATCCTGATCATGATCAGCTTCCGCGGAACTCGCGGCACCCACATTTTGCATTGTGTTCCAATCATAGATTGCCTTTTTGGGATGCACTCCGAGAATTCGTGGGCTCGTCTTTATGTTGCTGTGCGCTTCGCAGACATGTCGGGAGACCCTTTATATAGCGTAGCACATCATTGCACGGTCAGGCTATTTGCTCTATCATATCGCGCTACTATGCAACAGTCGGGAATACGCACCCATCAGAGCAGGCTTGTCCCCAGAAACAGATCGTCGCCGTCCACCATCTGCGCCGCCGTAAGCGCTCCTGCGGTCAACTGCGACTCCTATGAGATCTTCGACGTGTCTTCGGAGGATGATATGGACTTGGATCGGGAGCTTGAGCTTGGGTTCCAGCAGCTGGCGGGGGACGAGCAGTGTGCAGGAGTGGAGCTCGGGGATGGGATGGACGACCTCGAGCGCAAGCTGCAAGCTGAGATGGAGCGCTTCGAAGGCGCCGGCAGCGACAACCCAATGAACGAGACTTCCACTGCATGGCACGGCGCTGCCGACGACTCCAAGGACGCGATGGACCAGAGTCTCGAGGTTGAACTCTTTGGTGCTGAGGAAGATGGGGACGAACCGGCGTTCGGCTTTGCTGCGTATCCCGTTCCCATCTCTGCTCTGAACGACAGTATCCAGCATGCGCAGACTCTGGACAAGAGTCTCGAGGCTGAGCTGTTCGGCGACGACGACGACGACGACGACGACATGATCGAGGTTCTACCACTCCCCACCCGCCCTACTGCACCCACAAACAACAACTCGCGACATGAAACCAACCTGGTCGAGGCCAGCAATGCCACCCCGCGCTTCCAACTTCCGATCTTCGCCCTGAACTCCTCGCTGCCCGCCGCCCCATCGAACGACGTCATGTCCGACGACAAGCCCGCGCAGTCAGTGGGCGCCCGATTCGTTGCGGAGAACGCAGTCCCGACCCAGCCCCTCAATTCCGAACGCAGTCGACGCAAGTCTCTCGGAACGACGGCGCCGACGACGACGACGCCGGTCTCGCCTGCGCGAGGGAGCAAGAAGAAGACGAAGCAGACGGCGCGGGTGGGCCAAGCAGCTGCTGAACCCTCCGGCGCTGCGACGCCCGCCACCACCCAGCCGAAGCCGAAGCGCTCGAGAAAGGGCAAGGGCAAAGAAACCGCGAGTGCGGCTATGACCGAAGCTCAAGAAAGTCAACGGTCGGTCGCATTTCTCCCTACTACACAGTAGATCCCGTGTCTGACATTCCTGATAGTCGTGTCGAGCTCCAGAAAAATCACTACGGGCTGGACTTCAAGAAGTATTCGTGGATGGACACCACCGCGGTGTTCGTGCCCCGACCCGCACCGGCCGCCACAGCAGGCTCTTCCAAAGCGGTGATCGCGCCGCAACCCATCGCAAACACTCTCAAGCGCAAAGCTGAAGAGTACGTACCTCCTCACACAAGTCCTATCCCCATAGCTGTGATTGACAAAGACGCTTTCTTGAACAGGATCCGCCCCGCCGACGACGAGAAGCTCACCGCGATGCGCAAGGAATACATCTCACGACAAGTCAAGAACGCCGGGCGCCTCGGCCACACGCGCACCCTCCCCTGCCTCTACATCGCCGATGCCGCCCACGCATGCACGTGCCCCTTCCCCCCAGCGCCGGCCGACCCGACCCAGCGGCGCCAACGCGCATTCGTCATTTCGGTAGGCCAGCGCCGCATCTGCACCGGCACGGCACCCTGCGCCGGCGTCGCCGCGCACCAGTGCGGCACCGAGGTCCGGGGCAAGATCGAGGAGCTGCAGGCGCACCTACACTCGGCGCACCACTTCGCCAGCGCGGCCGCGATCACGGAGGCCACGCGCGCGACGAAGGCGCGGCTCGGCCTCGCGTCGTCGTCGCGCATCCCGAAGGCGTCGAGCCCGTTCGCGGAGTTCGTGTGCGCGGACCGCTGGGACGCACTCGCGTCGCTGGGGTGCCGGCAGAAGGTGACGGAGGCGACGTTTGCGCACCACCTGATGATACATCACATGAACGCGAAGCACGTCGGGTGCCCGGCCGAAGGGTGCACGCAGGAGGTGGTTGGGAAGAAGGACCTAGAGACGCATATGGAGGACTGTGTGCATGTGCGCCGCGTCGTTGCGAAGATGGCGGAGACGGCGAAGCGCGCGAGATTGGATGGAGCTTGATGGGAGACTCGGCAGGTGGCTGTTCGGGAGGGTTCGTGACTGACGTTCTGTCCCTTGACTTGGATCTTTTACTATGGGTTATTGGGTGCTTGTGTATATCATCTCATTTGATCGAGATGTGTCTGTTATCATTTATGACTATGTTGCATATACTTATGATTCTTTACGACCAGCTAGTTACTCATTTGTACACATGCACTTCATCATATGGAACAAAATCATCACATTAGTTGTCCGCCAACGGTAAAAGCAAGCTACTCGGCCGTTCCTCCGGTCAACCAGAACCAGGCGACCTCACTTTCACCTCGTGCAAATACGTTCCAGATTTCTATGTTCGGGTCATGACTCATTATTAGAGTCGATTCAGCCAGCTTCGGCCGCCTTGGTCGCCAGCGTTACTCCCAAGGCATGTACGTGTCAGGATCCGCGACTATGTTGGTCGAAGGCAGAGATCCGCGGGCTCGCACTCGGGCATATCAACGACAGGATCATCTCACGGGACGATGTAACTTCGCAGCTTGATAGTGCTCTGACCGAGCCGTGAATGTCTAAATCTTGGATTTTGATCAGACATTCTGCTCAGAGGACGCTCACCTCTGCCTCTATCCAAGTCCTTTGCTGGCCCCAGTGATCGTACCCGCTCCATCTTGGAGAAGGATGTTGGACATATTGCCTGCGACCATGGTACGGTATCTGCCCCGTCGTCGCTCAGATTTATAGCAGCTATCTGGGCAGCGTGTGTGAGTAGAGGAAGACCCCACACCGCACATACACACGGGAATTTCCCGGCTACGATACAATGTCCGTCGCCAAGAGAATCATCTATGCAAGAGGCGTCAACGTGAATCGAGCGCGCGGGGACCGAGATCTTCCAGGGCAGGTTCGGATGGGATTTTCCATCCGAATCCCAGCGACGCTCCTGCTAGAATCCACGACCCGAGAGAAGATTCGCCGAATGTACAGCGATAGCTCTGCAATCCGTAGAAATGGCGTGCAAACAAAATCGAAGTTCTGGCAGAACAGCAAGAACATATAATTCCAGAGTCAGACTCAAGACTCCACGGGCGCTCCGCCGTCTCAAACGCATAGAGAGTGCCCTCGAGAAACGTCCCTCTTTCATGCACGTCGAGAGGAGATATCGTAATGTATTCCTAGTGGAAATCGATGTGCAAGCCGGACATGGCTACATTCAAGTCAGGTATGATCTCCTCCAAATCGCTGCTGTAGAATTGATCCACCGTGCCGACATGAGAGGGGACGGGGAACATGAGAAGTGAACGGGAACCAGTCAAGGGCCCATTCCATCCCTAAGATCTGCTATCCTCGCGCCGGTAACTTATTGAAGGTGCGATTCCAGAAGCTGTGTTCCAGCTCGGCTATCTTTCCGAGTTGCCATCCCGATCACTGAGTGCAAGATCTTGCCACCTATCGAGAAAAACTCGAGGGTGTTTGGGGTACGAATCATCGTGCTTTTCATGCGGATCTTCGTTTATAAGCCCAGTCTTACAGCATGCAATCCTGCTGTGCAATATCGAGAATGCGAGACTCTGGAGTGGCTCCCTGGCTTTCTCGGTGCAGACACTGAGCTGGTGGGGGTCTAGAAAGTTGTGGACGCACTCATCATCGGAGTGTAGTGAGATGTCTCTGTATCGAGCGCCGTGGTAGTGCACTGCTTACGGCCACAGAAGTGAAAGAGCTCCTAGAACTTTCTTCTCTCAAATGCCCCAGTTCCGCTTTGGTCAAGGGATAAGCACCAGCATGGAAAGCATCTGGTTCGCGGAACTAGTGACCCTGTAGTCAAAGTGAAGATTCTCCAGGTTAGGCAGCGTGGCAGGCTGTGCCGGCTAGGTTTCCTTGAGATAAGGCGACGCATGACGACCCAGCTGATGCGCAACCGGGTGAATCATTTGCTCGATGACCAGGAAAACGGTCGATTCCCCAGGGTCAGCGCGCATGTCAAGTTAAGCAGTGGTCAACTAGTCCCAGGAAAGAGTGAGCGAGGCCCGTGCTTGGTCCTAGACTTTCGCGGGTCGAAGTTTCGAGGGCCCATAGGAACTACCGTATGAATTGAGAATTCCGGGAATGCGTAGCACGGAAGACAGGGACTCTGGAGGGTGGGCAAGGTAGTGTCAAGAGGAAACCCGACAGTGTGATGTTGTGGACGCCCGAGGAAGTTGCTCAGGGCACCGCTTTCGACGGCCAAAGCCACACCATCCCGAAGTCTTTGATTGACCGCTGGAAGGGAAGATGCTGATATGTGCCTCAAGACCGTGCGCTAGAGGGGAAAGGCACAATCTCTCGCCACTCACAATACACCACTGGGCTCTCGAGCGGCGTCCCTTCTGCTTCCTTCGACTTGGAAAGCATGCAGAGTCTGTTGCCGCCCCAGCAAATGTTGCGCATATTGTGCTGGAGTACCTCGAGCGCCAGGATCCGTGATGGCTTGAGAATAAGGAAAGGGATTCGCTCGAGCTCGTCTTTGAAAGTTTTTTTGTTCATCCCGTAGCACTTGGAGTCGTCATTGGTACTCGAGAGTCCCACTTTTGGGTGGTTCCGAAGCAAAGAGGTGCGGTATGGATTCGAGAAGTTTCCCATTCGCACGAGCATGCAAGTTGTCTGTTTAGTGAGTGTTTGTGGTGAGCAGAACGTGATAGCCATCAACAAAATGGTGATCGCCGCGCATCACCGTCCCCGCACTCCCTCGCCAAGGCCATGCCCCCACACCTGAGGCTCCCGCCCGAGTTGTGGGCCAGCGTCTTCGAGGAACTCGAGCGATCAGATCTGCTTTCTGCCAATCTGCTCTCATGGCCGTTCCACGCCCTCACCCATCCGCTCGTCTTCCGCACGATCCACTTCGGATTCACGTCGTGGAAGGAGTCGACGCTCCTCCCCCGCCTCGCAGGCCTGCAGCGCGGCGACATTGCGCCGTATGTCCAAAAAGTCGACATCCACTTCGTCAACTCCCTCCTGGTCCAGTCGCACCGCAGCACGCTCGTCGTGTCGCCTGACAGCGGCAATCCGCTTGTCGTGGCACTTCTGCGGACCCTCCGGAGCTTCTGTGGTCTTCGGCAGCTTTTCATGCGGCTCGATATGCAGGATGCCCAGATTGACATTGCGCGGCTGGGATTGGAACAGATCGGGGTGAAAGAGCTGTTGATATGGGGCGGCCGTGTCGTGCCGCCCACACTTGATAGTGCCGATACGTCGATGATATGTCTCGAACGACTGCATCTCCGCGTGCGGGATCCCCGCGATAAAGAGTCTTCTGCCGCCGCTGCGCATCTCTGCTTACCCTCCCATCTCAGTCTTCTAGACATGCTCGATCCGTCACGTCTGCGTGCGCTGGAGCTGTATTTCGACAGCCAAGTCGTTCTCGGGTCTGGCATCCGCCGCTTGCGCTTCCTCGCAGTCACCTCCCTGAGGATTGAGTGCCGCTGGAACTCGCCCCGGGTTCTGGAGGACCTGGCGCACATGTTCCCCAACGTGCAGCAACTGGTGCTGAGCGGGAGCGTCGTGTGGTTCCGAGACAGCAACGACACCCGATGGGCACTGTTCTCGGGCCTTGAATCTCTGCATGTGCCGGAAGCGTGTCTCCCTCTGCTGCTATGCGCTCGCCGCGCAGGGGACGACGGGCTTCCCCGCCCCGTCAGATTAGTCGTGAGCAGCGAGTGCCGCACGTTCCAAAAGATGATGGAAACGCTGGACATGCGGTCGCTCCAATTCCTCCGTCTCACGATCAAGGCCAAGGCGTTTTGCAGCGCGCCGTTCGACGTGCAGGAGCGACTACCCTCTCTGACGACCCTGCAGCTGAGCATCTCGCTCGAGCATTTCCGGATCGACCGCGACTCTATGCGGCAGGTGCGTGCATCCCCGCGCTCATAATGTACTGGCGAGCGGTTGCTGATCGACAGCACGTAGATTGCGTGCGCTCTCGCCCGGATGATACGGCCGGCAAAAGCTTTGCTGCTCGCCGATATCACGCTCGTCGACCGGCCGTTGGCCACCGACAATTCAGTCACTGCATGGGCCGAGCAGCAGCTGATCGCCGCGACGAAATCGTTGAACAGCTTCCTTGACAGCAGGTTTCCTGACCTGCGATGTCGCATGCGCTTGCAATGTCGTCTTCGGCACTCACTAGATCGGTGAAGAGATAGATTCTGGGACTTGGGGATATTGGGGATATCGGTGAAGAGACAGATTCCGGGACTTGGGGATATTGGGGTTTTGGGGTGCATTCAGGGAACGTGCTGGCATATCAGCCGAAGTTTGGACATCCATTGGGTAACTACAGAACATTGGACAGCATATAGAATCCAGCATTGGCGCTCTCAATCAAAGCAAGCTGCTCGGAATCCTTGTCTTGGTCGAGAAGTTCCTGTCGTAGACTGTCCAGATCACGCTTATGCAGAGCTTTTGAAGAGTTTGAATCCCGGAGATGGGCTTTGCATGGATATTGCATGTATCATTTCCTGGTGTTTGATCTTTATGCCATTTGATACCCTAAGAGCAACCGCTCGGCGTGTATTGGCGAAGAACCTGCAGACTTGTGGATGCGATTGTAATTCATATGACTTGCTCTTCGTTACATATACATAAGTGAGTAGAGAGAGAGAACATGAGTGGTAGAAACATCGATGCTAAGATGTATATGATCAAAGGAGCTTAGCACGCTTGACATCGCGCCTGCGACTTGTCAGTGAGAGAGCACAGAAGAAGACTAGAAATCAAATACTTACTCGGCGCCATCCTCAGCGGGGTCAGACTCCAGCTTGTGCTTGTGCGCGATGATCTTCTCGGCCGCGTCCTGCGCGCATTCGATTCCCGATGAAACAGTCTGGATCCAAGCACCAGATGAAAAAGTGCGGAGACGGCGGGGGCCTGCAATCGGGCGCTGATTCGGAGAAGGGAAAGGAGACTCGTTTTGCGCCTCTCCGCTAGCAGATCTATTGCGCGATGAACAAGAGATCAGAAACATGGGAGCGATGACGTACTTGGCACGCGACCCCGTGATCGGGGAACTGAGTTGACGGATGAGGCCGTTGTTGGGCGTGAACACAAATTGAGACGGGCTACCAGAATGGTTAGATCGAATCCAGGGATGGTACATAAGAAGGACGAACCCTTGGTGAGATGTGACCCACGGACCCGCATCGCTCATCGACTCTGCGTCGCATCCTCCTGCACCTCCCAGCACATGCTGGGAGCCAGCCTGACCATCAAGTCGCCCACTGGAGAGATTCCCGATTTGGCTGAAAGTGAAGTGGTCCTCGAAAACGAGATTGTCGGTCGCACGCCCGGTCGTGTGGAACACCGCGTCCTCAGCAAGAGTGTCGAGACCGATGGCGCGACGAGCATCCTCGGGGAGCACGATCGGATCGCTGTCCGGATCCATAAAACCGACGACTCGGGGGGTAAAGAGACTGGACTCGGAGGACACGGAAGGCAGCGTGCCCGGCAGGTCGAAAACCATCAAGTTCTCCTCCTCGTCCTCGTCGATTGGCTGTGCAGGATGCTCGTTTTCATCGAGTTCGCGGGGCCAGGTATACTCGTTGATCCCCTCGTTCCTCGCTCGTTCAACCCAGTCCGCCCAGTTCGCTGCGATCCTCACACTGAGCTCGACGGGGATCCGGAAGCCGCGCCCCGGGGCAACGCCACCCGGGGCAGGCGGCTCGCCCCCCGCTCCAGTCCATGCGGCATCGGAAGAGCCCACAGACATCGCGGCGCTACCTTCCCCGATCTGAGCAGCCGGGTGTGGGTGAAATGCCACCCCGGTGCCTTGGGAAAGGTGGTCGGCCGCGACGCCCGGCAAGTCGAGGGATCCCATCTGTACAAACGAGAACTCGCTAGGAGCCTCTACAGAGATCGCTGTAAGTCACCATCGGTCAGAATTTGTATGTGACGATTTAGTAGCAGCTCACCAAGCTCAGGCGCCGAGGGATTCTGAATCGCATCGGCGATGTCGTGCAGGATATCCGCGACGGATTGACGAGTGTTGGCCATTGACAATTATTTTGTGTGCTCAGGGGAAATGTTGTGAATGGGAGTCGTGAGGGATTGAGTACAAGCAGCGTTGGACCCCAATCAACAGAGCAGCGCCTCCTTTTCACGTGACCCCGAACCGGTCTCCTTTTCCATTGTTCACTGTTTCTGGCCATCTGGGTCTGACTGATGATCCGATCAACCCATCAAATCTGGCGCACAATCTTGCCACGTGCAGAGATTCCGCTCTTGAAATACGACTTGTGGCTTCTAGCGCGCAACTGCGTTTAAGCCGTATCGTCTTTTGAATGCTAGTTGCAGAGCTTGCTCAAACCGGCCTAAGTTGACAGACACGAACATGTCAAGCGCTTGCCAATGAGGACGTGTGAACGGCATAAGTATCAGATGTCGATTTGGGGCGAGAGATTTATAGATCTTGCAGAGTTTTCGTCGAATTTTCCGAAGGGTTTTCGAGTGCAAGTAAGATGAGCGAAACAGGCATGAAAGATCTCCTCGTTCACGAGACAAATGGTCCGTCCGAGAGCGTCTATGGATTCAGCGTGAGGTCGGACCACTGTTGCGCCAATCGACAGTACCGAAAGGAGGGATATGTATACGAGAGGACCGAAGGACTAGCGGAACGAGCCAGCCGAGTTCAAGCAATCTCTTCGCCTACGCCCATCTAGGATACTGTTCGATTGAAAATGGGGTCCCATGCTGCGGCCATCTTTTACAAGAGCCTCAAGGAGCCAGAATGGATGCCAGAGTGCTAGGGCTGCTTCATAGATGTTCAGAATACGCTCTGCCCTCCAGTAGAGGCATTTTGAAGCAGGACTGAAAGCAAGTCAAAGAAAAAGACGTCGGCCGAAGGCGCCGATACACTTTGCACCTTACTCCACACCACCATGACCGCTACGATGGCTTTGCGAACATTACGTTTTTCGTCTGCCCGACGAAAGTTGGCGTGACTCCTGGGTATCGACATCCTACAGATGAGGTTACAGTGACGCCGGAGGATGAAAGAGGGCCTGTGAGAGTTCCACTCTCAGTAAGCCACTTCCGATCCGTCGCGCAAACTTGCTCATTTGTTCATCGCCAGCCTAGCCAATGTGCAAATTCTCTAGGGACTACCGTCTGCGAACCCTGTCCCCTCTGCTCCGGCGTATCCCGATCACAAACGCGGATCCACGCCTCAATTGTCCCGCGGATGCTCCTATCCTTAGACCCGCATCCTGTCTCTCTCCGTCATGCTCTCCGTCTCCTTGTCATCGTCTACCTCCCTTGCTTCTGGACTTGTGTCGCTATCAACACCAGCCTCTTCGGCTCAGCTGAATCAGTTATCTCCAAGTCCAGGGACTTTCTGCGCTGTCTCGGATGCAGGTCATACGCCGTTGGCGTCGGGTGTCGATCTGCGGTTTCCCCTCACGACATCCGCTTCCTTGGAAGAAGTCCTCTCCCTCTTGGCCCATCGGACGGACATTGGTAGTGCTGATGTTGGAGACGAGGGGAGAGTATGCATGGTTTGCTGTATTCTGGTTATCCGCTCTGATGGTTGTTGCCAGGACTCTATCGGTTCCCAGAACGGAGATCGCCTCGGGCTAGGTCTGGGCCTGCCCATACGCTCGGAAACGACGTCGCTGTGGACCACCATCTCCGACTTCCTACATCTGTCTTACAGCGTTCTCTTCGAGTTTGAAGATCCGCCATACTTCGGGCCGGATGGGGTGGAACCTATTCCACCTGCGCTTAAGGGACAGGCCGATTCGCTTCCATATGTTATCACGGTCCTCGGGCCTTCTCCAGAGATTCTCGACGGGGAGTTGCATCTGACGAGACGGGCACACGAGCTTGGCCTCCCGCCCATCTTGGACTCTCGCGCTGAAACCCGTTCCCTTCCGATACCGCCTCTCATGCGTCGTTTAATTCTCTGCCTCCCGGAGTTCCTACGTGGCACGCAGCGCCCCCACGTCCAGTTCGCGCAGCTGCCGGCGCCTCCTGGCCGCTCGCCGGCCCTCCGCCGATCATTCTTCCAGTGCTCAGACCACCGCGCGGACGAGCATCTGCGCCGCTTCAATCGCGGCGGGGACGTCACGCGCTGGGACCGGCGCCGCCGCGAATCCATCGCGCACGAGCGCAGCATCTCGCACGATCTCGTCCGGCTCGCCCCGACGTGGGCGCAGATCGAGGAGTTGTGTCAGATCGAGGATGAGAGGAGGATGAGGTTGCGGCCGCGGTTCACGTATGCGGGGATGCCGGTGGAGGTCGTGCGCAGGAGCTGGTTTGCGGACGTTCCGCCGGAGGTTAGGCGGCGGAGAAGAGTTGAGGTCTTGCAGAGGGAAGAGCGAATGGCAGTGAAGGAGAGGAGTCATCGTGTGCGGCTGGCGGCATATGAGGAGAGCTTGGAAATTGGGACTGGGATCTTCGAATGTGATGAATGATTCGCCCTTGGTTTTTTCGTGTGATGGATCTTCTTAAGAGGCTGAGAGGGACACTGGGCGATGTGCTCAGAATCTGACAGTCGTTCTTCATCGGCTCTGCTGGTCGGTGGGAACTGTGTCGGGGATATAATGTAGGGCATAATGCTCACTTTGCCCCTCCACCTTGGGTTTGTGAGCTGTTCAGGGCCCAAGTCCCCATGCGTCCATGAAGATTCGTTCACGATTCATCGTTCTCTACTCTCGGAAGATCTTGCCTGGACTGCAGATGCCCACTCCATCTTCTGATATTCACTGATCATCCGACAGACTGGCCAGCTCTACCCACATGCAAGCCAAGTCCTGGTTTTCTTCACTGAACTTCTGCTGTCCGGGCTCTTCTCATCAAGTCACTGTGTTCGTCGAACAAGGTTTCGCTCGCCGTGGACTGGAGATCGATCGTTCTTAGATGCGGCATGTGCAGCCCCAAGTTGGGTTGCGGGGAGCCGTACAGCTGTCGCAGGGAACTGCTCTTTCCCCATCCAACGCGCCGACACAGAAGATGTGGATATCGAGCAGAAGTGATGATTCAGAAGCCGCCAGCCTGGGAGTCCTCACTCCTTTGCCGGAGTGGACAGATTTGCATCGACAGATCGATTCATGTCCCCCGCGCACAGTGCGCCTGGCAGGAGAATAAGATATGCTGTCAAGCGGGAGAGAGATACGTGCTGTCTGTCGGGCGCGTTGTTCCCTGCGAACAGGTGATGATGCAAGCCTCCAGTTTCTTACGAAAATGGCCGACGCTCGGACAGTGGTGGAGCCCAACGCGCCAAGTGACTCGCATGCTCGTCATGCGTCCAAAGACGCCACACCATGAGACGCCTCGTCGTGCTGACCTGATCGGAGTTCGTGGGTGCGTGCGGTTGTTGCTAGGTAGTCACTTTCATCGCAGCCATGAGGTCCCTCGAAAAGACCGTGTCGATCTTGCATGTTGCATGCTGGTGATGGGTTTGCGCCGGAGAACATCCAAGATTGAGACAGGGTCGTCACGAACATTCACTGCCGTTCAGTGCCGACAGCAAAATCTTCGGCGGATGCCGTACGGTTGGGCAACCATGAAGATTCTCCCACATGCCACAGTCCATCATATGACATCCAGGGTACGATTTTTCCGCAACAGACTCTATGACGGCATTCAAGGGTGAACATCTGCTGTTGTGCGTCAAGCATCTCCAGGAATAACAGAGACCAAAGATAAGATGAATCGTATAACGCATGACACAGACAGAGTGTACTACAAGGAGAAAATGTTTCGCATTCGGGTCGCTCAGCAAGCTGAAAGACAAGTATATGAGAATATAGCACAAGGAAAAGTATCGGAAAACGCACCAGAACCAGCCACAGGAACCAGAGTGATTCGCGTACTCCAGCATGCATCAGGATCCACCACATCGACATGCGAATCGCGCGTCAGATTGAATACGACACTCATCATCGGCGGCGTGAACTTTGACTGGATGGAGCAAAGGAACCACAACCCCGCTTCGCCGTAAGCTGAGAGAGACATGCCGACCGGCGATTGTACGACAGAGTAGATCCTGGCCGCATCGTGATTGAACAGCGGGCTGGTGTACCAGGTGAGGAGGTCCCCGTTCTGTACGGCAGTGGCGTTCGTGAGCCAGGCACCGGAAGCACGGTAGGCTCGCAAAGAACCGTTGACGAGGGAAAGAGTTGGATAAACGTTGACGGGATACGACGCGAAGGTCTGCAAGAATTGCATTCGTTAGCACTACACGCGGTCGTTGATATGTTGACGCACAGAGGTAATCTCATAGCTTGGGCCATCGAAGGGTGCTGTGTCCGAGAGGTGAGATCGTGCAGACGACAGCGCTGACCGCATACCATTGTTCGCCAGTACGAGAGGCATCATAGTCGTGTTCGTGTATTGCTCCGTCATGTTCCATGCAGCCAGACTGAATCTGCACCCGAGGTCGCTGCGATGTAGCGTCCATTCGCCATGGACTTGCAGGATACACGACAGCAAGAGCAGGCACGAAAACAAGGAGGTTGAGGAGAGCGAAGGCATGGGGGTGAAGTGCTCTGCCGCGGAGAGCTGAGTGCCATTTAAACGATGGCGATGGCTAAAAAGTATAAGTCATTTCTGTGGTGGGATGTTATGTACGCGAGAAGGCCATCGTATTCAATGGTTTATTCGGCTGCTGAGCGTCCGGCATGGATGGATAGCAATGATTGCTGAGGTCTATGAATATAGCGCAACCGTGGACTCCACTCCTCGGAGCAGGCAGTATGTAGGGACAGGCACATAGGCCTCACAGATTTGATCCCAGGTGTCTTGACAGCTGCTTAGATCCATGGAAGGTTGGATACACACATAACTGATCGTGAGATGAGGATGAGCCCAAGTATATGCAGCCTTCGAGGCAAACTACATGGCACGCACCGATAGTGGCAACAAGTTGACCACCGCCCCTCTTAGCATCAATGTTACGCATCACCACCATCAGCGGGGGTGACAAACAATTTCAAATCCTCTCCCAAAGGATCCCCTCATACCCGTCACAAATTTCGGCGCAAGGTGCGCATGTGCCAAGTGTGAGTAATGTCTTTACACTCGCCATCGCTCGGGCCGTCCCCCTCCCCATCGCCCTCCTCGTCCGCGGTTCGGATACCCATTCCGGGCAAGTCGATTCTCAAGAAACCGCCACCCGCGCAGTCGTCATCTCTATTCTCGCGGCTCAGCATCAGCCGATTCCTTCCTGGAGAGAGCGGGGGCGGAGCTGGGTCTGGGGGCGCTGGGGGCGCCGGCGGCGGAAAAGAAGACTCGACGAGGGTGCTCAGACGGGCCCATTTCATCCTCCCTGAAATTGCGGTCGTATACCCGATATCAAGCATCGCACCGCCTTCGACTCCGGCATTGAGGGATGAGAAGCGCGCTATAGAGGAACGGGAACGAGAGCGGAGGCGGCGAGTCGTGCGCTCGAATAGTCTGACGTCAAGCGTCACCTCAGATTCGGCCAGTACAGTCACTGTCTCTACGTCAGGCAGCGGGACAGAAGAGGAGTGGTGGCCGTTGGAGAAGGTCGAGAGCTTTTACCGGGAGTGCTGCGAAGGTTGTCAAGAGACACCGGACCCCGGCATCACCGCCGCTTTGAAGGTATGTGCTTGTGATATTGGAGCTTCCGGCTCGAGACTGACGACACGCAGAGCGCCTCCCCTGCCCATCCACGCACTGTCGACTTGTCCGGTGCCCAGCTAACGTTCACGAGTGCCTCCATATTGTCCGAAGTGCTCAAAATCGAATGGGGACTGCGCAAGCTTGTCTTCCGAGAGTGCGATCTTGACGATCTGGTATGTCGTTTGGATTCCAGTCTCGTCCAAATATCTGTCCAATGCCCCTTTGCTGTTCTCACGCCCCGCACTGCGCCTCCGAAGAACAACACCATGCTGATGCTGCACACAGACTCTCAAACCGATTTTGCACGCTTTGCTCATTCCACGCTCCCTTGCCTATCTCAGTCTGGCCAGCAACAGGCGTCTCAAAAACAACGCGTGGAAACTTCTCGGGGCTTACGTTGCGAAGGTGAGCACGTTGTATCCATCGTCGCTTCTCTCTCTATGGGGATCCGTTTTCGGAAGTCTCAATACCTTTCACTGCGCGACCCTCAGATGTGCCTTGGTCCGCTCCGGTCAGAGGGCCGCCGATGGTCACGCGAGCGAGCTTATCTTATCAGCAGTGGAGCCAAAGTGGGCTAAGACTATGCCATTGCGTACATTTCGTACTCTTCTTCCACTTTCCGCTACCGGTTCTGCTACCTTCTTTTGCTGACCGATTTCGTTCTGCATCCAGGCTCACACCCTGACATTCCTCGACCTCTCTCAGAACCCTCTGGACAAGAAAGCTGTCGAGTGTCTCGCCGTTGCCCTGCCGGAATATGTCGCCCATCCTACGCTATCAACGAGCACCTCTAGAACGCCATCGATCCTTTCGCTCAATGACGAAGAGCCTCGAAGGGAAAGCAGTTACTTCTATCAAATTGCTGAGGAACCGCGCTATGGGCTTGGCTATGGCTTGGACGATTCCAAGTTACGAGAGATGGAGAAAGATCGTGAACAGCGAAAGAGTGGGGCATGTGGCCTGATCTCTCTCAAACTGGACGACTGTGCGCTGCGGGCTGGTGCTTTGGAGGCTCTCTGTGCGTGGGCAGTCCGTCTCTCTGCTTTTTACTCATGGACATCCTCCAGGTCGAGCCGTTCGCACGTCTAATCTGCGGAACATATCACTCCGGCACAACAAGATCTCGCCTGCCGGTGGAGTGGCTCTGGCTTTGATGATCAGAGACTATCCGGATGTGCTCTCGTCGAATGCGTCGCCCACGATATCGCATCTGCAGCATGAAAACGGCACGGGCAGCAACAACAGCAGTGCCGCATCCTCTCCGACATCCACGCACCCACCTCTTCCTACGTCGCCCACCATGGCTGGGAAGCTTCCTCCGCCACGACACCCGGCACAGACGATCACCGCAGCCCAGACCACCTATACGCCCTATGTGCCCAGGCGAAGGCAGACCGCGTCTGCGGTCCCTGCCGGCAGGCCCGTCGTTGCCAGCAGCGTATCGGGTGGCGTTGTTGCCCGGCATGTCCCGTCTGTTTCAGTGACTCCCGGACTTGGCTTGGGTGCACAGGCTGAACGGGAACGGGAGCTCAAAGAGCAGCAGAGAGACGGACCGAGTGCTGCTCTGCTTGACAAAGTGCGGGCCCTGGACGCGCTGCCTCGAGTGGGAGCTTTGCGGACGTTGGATCTGAGGGGCAATGATTTGAGGGTGTGCTTCTCGTGCCGCATCCGATGTTACCCATCTCATCCTATTCTAGACAGGGATAACATATCTCGCCCAAGTTCTCAAGCGGAACAGGACTCTGAAAGTTCTGAATCTTGCCGAAAACAAACTTGACGTGGCGTGCCTGGTTAGTTTGGCAGAGGCGCTGGTGCGTGCGGTTCGTCTTTTGCTCCTGAACTCCGCTCTGATCAGTTCGCCGCAGAAATATAATTCGAGTCTAGAGACGCTAGATCTGTCCAAGAACCCCTGTTCTGGACCCGGACTAGAAGGGGTACGGCATCCTATTCACTTTGGAATCGTTGACCTCATTTGACGCCAGATCCAATCTTTGCGCACAGCATTCACCCTGAACACGGCCCTGAAAAGGCTATTCTTGAGCTCGACGGGGCTGACATCGCCAGGTGCAATTGCACTTGCCGAGTTTCTGCCGGAGAGTGCATCTCTGCTGCATCTTGATCTGACCGAGAATGCGCTTGACATCGCCGGGGTGCTCGCGCTGTCGAAAGGCTTGGAGGCCAACTTTGTCATGCGCTGTCTGGATCTGAATATCCCCCCTGGTGATGAAGCATGTGCTCGGATGTGCCGGGACATCCTCAATGTTTGTGTCCGCAACACAGAGGATGCGGAGAAACGGGCTGCTGCCACCCGTGAAGCGGAAGGCTTGTCGACACCGACCTCTGCAAACCCAGATGGTAGAGGTTATGGGAAAGGTGTGTGGGGCCTCATAGAGGAGAGTGCTCTCGCCAAAGGAATTAGGAGGGGGGAGGAGAGGAAGGTGTGTGCTTCCGCTTCTCTTATGTCTGTCTATGTGGAGTAATTTCGCTCTTCCTAGCACGAAGGAGATGTTGTCGCTCGTGCTAATGCTTGCGCGGCTCAACTCCAAGTGATGCTTTCTCCAGCAACAACACCTACGGAGAACCCGGCGGCATCTCCCGCAGATGTGCTGAAACGAGCTCGTGCGCTCACCCATGAGTTGAGCGCCGTGATCGAAGCTACGGACGACCCAGCGCGCATGGAAGAGTTGCTGGACGCCAATGACACGCTGACGGCTCTCATCACCCATTTGCCAACGAATGCGATCGCGCGTCCGACATTGACCCTACAAGGTCTTGGATTGAAATCGACCAATGGCGAGCCGCTGCCGACAGCGAATGGCGTTGCCCCGACAGCGGATGAACCGCCGTCGACACCTCGGATCGACAAAGGGAAGGCGCGCGCTGTTCCGGAGCCGGAAGAACCGGAGAAGGTTCTCAGCCCGACTAAGCTGCTTATGGGTCAAGGCGACGAAGATGTTGACAGCGAAGGTCCGTTGCATGTGGAGGAATCCGAGCCAGGTTCGCCGACGACCAGGTAAGTTGGGACGATGTTATCACTGCAAGTTACTTCCAGCGATTGAATCCACTTGCAGCCGATCGAAGAGCTGGGTTGAGGAGGAGGGCGAGGTTTTCCGCAAGGGAACCATTTTGCTTGGACCGGAGGAGATGGACGGGGAATACGCCGGGGAGGATCTCAAGAAGGAGGTTTGTGCTTCAACTTTTACTGTTGCAATAAGCTGATGCGAGTTATACAGCTCTTGGAAGCTATGGTCGAGCGACCTCCCCCACGACCGTTGACAGATGAATACGGGATGGAGATTGCAGCCCCGGAGAGCCCTCCTCCCCCGGAACCGGTCTCACCTGTCGTCGAGAAATCGGTCCCGCGACCTTACGTCACTCGGCGGTCGTCGAGTGCCTCGCTGATGAGCCTGATATCGCCGACATCATCGTCGTTTGCACCATTGCCAGGTGCCGGCCAGATCCCAGAGCAGCCAGGGAGCCCTGTCGTGCCCGGCTCGCCGCGCCCGTATCTTTCTCGAAGGACATCTTCGTCTGCGCTTGACAGCTGATGAGCGCAGGGACGGATTTCTATTACTACTCACCGGAATTATAGTTTCTTCGTCGTCGTGCATTATACGTACATAGTTGTACCTACATTACATACCTTGAATACACACCTACCCTCGCTGTTATCTATGCATCTGTTTCAAATTTGACGTTCCTTACTGTACAGGTAACCCGCGCTTGTTTCCTGCCCCCATCATCGATAATGGCCCCACGCAAAAACACCGCTTCGTCCGGCGACGAGGCGCCGCGGCGCTCCGGGCGGTCGTCGACGGTGAAGGCGAGCACGGAGAGCCAGAGCGCTGCGGACGAGAAGGCTGCCAAGTCCGCGAGCCGCAAGCGGAAGGCGGGCGGAGATGGGGACGATAAGCCTGCAAAGAATACGAAAAAGGTGCCTTTTTTCACGACTTTTGTTTTTGGTGTGTTTAATTGGGTATTTTTCAGGCCAAGGCAGTTGAGGAGAAATCGGAGATGGAGAAGGAGCCAATGCAGGAGGGGGATGAGAAGGAGAAACTCGAGGCTGAGACTGAAGAGAAGGGCGCAGAGGACGAGCCGGCTGCCGCAGAAGCCGAAAAGCCTGCAGCAGAAGCTGAAGAGCCTGAAGCAGCAGCAGCAGCTGACGAGAAGCCTGCAGCCCAGAATGACAAGACCGAAAAGGAGCTCGCAGCAATCGACATCGGTGACTCGCTGCCGTCAATCACGCTCAAGAACGAGAAAGACGAGGATCTCGACGTGGCCACGCTCACAGCCGACCAGGGCCTCGTGCTATTCCTCGTCCCAAAAGCTGATACTCGTATGTGGCTGAGCTTTATAGCGAGCTGAACGCTCGAGCTTACTCATCCCCCAGCGGGGTGCACGACACAGGCGTGCGGGTTTCGGGACGCATACCCCGACTTCACGGGTCTGAACTATGGCGTGTACTGCCTGAGCGCGGACAAGCCCGCCGCCCAGAGCAAATGGCAAACGAAGGTCCGTCCGTCTCTGGGAATGCCTTGGGGCGGGCCTCTGCTTGATTCTGACGGCCGCGCACTTTCGTCAACAGAAAGAGCTCCCGTATCCGCTGCTCTCTGACCCGAAGCGCGTGCTCATAACGGCACTCGGCGCCGGCGACGGCGGGAAGACCAAGCGGAGCCACTTCGTGTTCGGCAAGGGCGGGAAGCTGTTGGAGAAGAAGATGCCGGTGAAGCCCGCGGACAGGTGCGCGATTCGTTGGCCGCCTGCATATTACGAACCCACACACTGTGCCTGCAGCCCCAAGCTCGCGCTCGAGTTCATCAAGTCCCAGAGCTCATGATGATGCGATGATATGCCTCTTGTTGTTTCGCTGCGTGTGTAAGTTATGGATGGCGATTCTTGTGCTGCTGTTTCTTTTGTCCTTGTGCGTGGTTTCTTGTTGTGCTGTGTCTCCTCGAATGTACCATACTTTCCCTCAATCAATCGACTTTTTCTTGCTGCTGGTGAATGACCCTGAAGAGGGGGGCTCTCTCAAGTCCGCCCGTCGAAGAAGATTAGCAGCCGGCAGCGCCTAGAGAAGTGTCAAAGCCGTCAGCCCTTGACCTGGGCTCCAAGCTCTCCCGGCCAGTCCCTCAAAGCTGTACCAGACGAGTCCGCCTTGGCCATCCATCGGATCGGAATCGCTGTCCAGTACGGTTTGCTGCTCTCCTACATACAGCTTGGCTGTGTCCCGCCACCCAGTGCACTCAGCAACAGAGCTCATGCATCGCACGTATCACGGCGTTTCTGCTCTTTCTAGTGTCTTGACTCTATTTTCGGAAGGACCGCGCCACCCATTGACGACCCACCTGTCCACTGCTCTGCATTTCTCCGAGTCTTCTGTGTCTCAGATGGCGCCTCAGGATCTAATCGATGACTATCGATAAGTCATTGTCACACTATCTGTCACGGTAACACATCATGAACCGTCACGTGACCATGACATTGTTGTGTCCCGTGACCCCATTTAGATCGCGCTGCTATGCTTGGGCCTAGCTCATACGCGTTCTTCTACTACTGTGAATCGTCCGAAGCGACACACTCATGGATACTGCTCCTACACACCCACACGCACTGCCTCTTGATGAGCTCGCCGGATTCGATGCGGGAGGGGCGGCTGATTTGGAGGTTCCGTTGGGTGGGTAGACTTTCGGATTCGGATAGATGGATCTACCGAGGCTAACGATTATGCAGAGTACCTGCCCGTGGTGGAGGGGCATTTCACGTTCCTTGAACGACGCGCCGCGGCATGGGACTACCTTTTCGCGTTGACGGAGGCGGAGTTCCCGCCCGACCCGGCGGCGAGCGGCGCAGTGGACCCCTCGCAGGCCGGGCCCTCGGTCCCATCCAAGCACGGGCAACCGGCGAGCGACACCAACACCAGCACCAACACCCTCTTTTATGGCGGCTGGCAGGAGGCCGGGAGCGGGAGCCCTGCAGACGCTAACCCACTCGCTTATTGGGAGCAGCTGTCGGAGCTGGACCTGAACATGATGTTCGCTGTTGATGGTGAGCAGCCTCTTGCGCAAAACCGAAACGGAGACGGGGGCTTCGAGGGCGGCGAGTCTGTGGCGGGGAAGGATGTCTGTGGGGCGCAGGGGGAGACGGACGTCGGGAAGGAAAACGTGGCGCCTCAGTCGACGTTGGAGGAGCTGGCTGCTGAGATGGGCGGGATGCGGCACCGGCAGGGCGATGTCGTCCACTATCGCGAGGAGGCGAATCCGAATCCAAACTTCGAGGAGAACCAAGTCTTCGACCAAGCTGCACCTACCGACGATGGCTCTACCTTGCAGGAGAACTTGTGGGATAGTGGTACTGGAGTTTGGGCCCACCCCGAGGCCGCGGGTGGCGCCGGTCCTCAGCTGGGCAATGCAGTCGTCCACGGGTCGTCCTCCGCATTCCAAGATAATCGGCAAGAAGTGTACGAGACGGCTCTGTCGCCAACTGATGTTGGCGAGCCGGCAAGCGAGGGCGGGGGATTTGGTGGGATGTGGGAACAACAGCAGCCGGGCAATGCTTTGCGGTGCGTCTGATTTTATTTATTCACGGCTCTCGAATCGGATCTAATTTATTGTAGCCCCGCTCCTTTTGTTTTTGACAATAACGGGAATGTGCGTCAGAAATATTCAGTCGTCGCATTTGATGAACAAGCCATCACGGAAGCGCGTCCCATGTACGTCATTGTTGACTTTGCCCCTGATTCTGCTTTTGTTGACGGACGAGCGACCAGATACGCTGCTGAAAACGGCCATGGGCAGCAGAATGTCGCTGGCCCGAGCCGCTTTCAAGAAGTCCCATCGACTGATTCCCATGGGCAAGTTCATCGACCATCCGGATCGGAGCTGCCCTTCAACGTGTACGTCTCTGCCCGAGGCCTCTTCCCGCTCTTAACGCATTCCATATGTAGATCGGGAGCGCTCCCTGATCCTGCGGTCGCCGGACTGAAACGCAAATACGAAGACGGGCCGCAGTTCTCGGCATTCCATGCAGCGTGCGTAACGCACGGCCAAGCTATGACGAGGTTTCTAATCATCCAACAGGTCTGGAGCTGCAGTGGTCCCGGCACCCTCCAAACGGGCAAAATCGGATGATGTCCCCGAAAAGCTGTGGACTTTCTCGCCGGACTACTTGCAGATGGTGTACAACCAACACCTCCTGAACATGTGCGTTATCATTCCGGCGATGTGTTTCTTTCTTTGAGATATTCACGTTCCGCAGACTGGGTCCGCGGGACCAATTCCAGGGCGCCTTCGATCTCCACTCCCGGCGGACACAGCTTGCGCAGCTGTTCCCCGAAGACTCCATCCCGCATCTGGCGATCCTGGCCGCCAACACCCGGGAGGTGGCGAACCAATTCGCGACGTGGCGGCTCGCGATGTGGGAAAAGGGCAAGGCGCCCTCGGACCCGTCGCTCTCGTGCGAGGTCGTGACCGACATCACTTTCAACAAGACGCAGATCAGAAAGCAGCTCGCGAAGCGGCACGGCTGGTCGCCGGCGCGCCTGCGGGACGGCGGGGCGAGGGTGTTTGGGTGCCCGTGGCGCGCGCTGGACCGCGCCGGCGCGATCGGCGTGTGCAAGTATGGCGTGCAGGGCGAGGCGGCCGTGCACGAGGTTGTGAAGCATATCATGGAGGACCACCTGCTCTCGGAGCACTACGAGTGCCGGTCGTGTCATGGGTGCCTCCCGTCTCTGGAAGATCTGGCGGCCCATCTGATCGCGGAGGGTTCCTGTGCGAGCCAGCCCCGGGGCGCGTAGGAGGTCTCTGCTGCCAGGGAGCCTTGGATCCGACCGCTTCGAGTTGGCGAGTGGATCGATGTTAAGCTTTATGATACTTATGGCCCCATCTCATATTATGTCTTTTCCATCGCATCTTATATCATCAGAGCACTGTAGTAACTAACCATCCATTTATGCTATGTAATCTAGACACCATCTGTGTACCCAGAAAAACTGAACTGAAATTCCTCGATGCGCTAGCTCCCATTTGCGTAATTACTTTGCCATCAGCGAGTTCGACTTGTGTTTATTCTGTTGATACAAGTAGCATATGTGCTC